AGTATACTGTGGGAACATTTTGGAACCGCCCGTTAGGAAGCAAATATTACAAGCGGAACCTCGTAACAAACAGATATCCTTCGTAAATGGAACAACGGATGCTCAATAATATGTAAATCAGATAAAGAGACCGACCTCAGTTATCCGACCTATCGATAACACACTTAACGCAACTAAACCTGTTGATTAGTCAGGTGAACGATATGAAGCTTGGCTTCAACTCGAACTCAACTCAAGAACCTTGGCTTTGGACGCGCTATCATTTGGCAACGATATCCGACGCGAATTTACACTTAAAAGCTTATCACCCCAATTATAAACGTCCCACCAATCAAAAGGGAGTCTTCGGTGATGACTTATCTAACCTGGTTAAGGATCAACAAATTATTCAACGATTCTTTCAGATATTCACAACAGGGCTCATAGATTTCTGGCAATAGTATCACTTGGATCAAGGGGGAAACGTCCTTTCGGATGTTGTGGGCGTGACTGAACCGAAGCAGATCCTCTGCCTCATTTACTTCTGAAATCAAGGGATTGATCAGTTTGACAATGAGGCTGGAATAGTTTGAATGGAGTAAACTGGAGATAGCGAAAACGTTCACGTTGTACTTGTTCAACGTTAGTGATGGTGCATAGGATAATAGTTGGCGAAAAAAAAGAAGTAATGAAATTTCATTAGATCTTTCACCCGAATAGAAAATCAAGTGGTATATCACGCGAATAAAGTAAGAAACTGAGCTTAAATTTCACAAGTGAGTGTCTGTTATTTTTATCTGTTCATGCCTGGTTGTCTTCAATTATAGGATACACGGGTAGTACCTCGTAGTACCTCTGAGGTCAATACATGAACATGATAGTATCCGGTGAGGCCTACAGCGTTTAGTGAGGAGAAATAGGGATTACCATTAATTTCGAACGCCTTTTACCATTAATTTCGCCGAACACCCCTATGCTGAGGATACTATCTCTACGTGCTTTAATCCTTAATTGTTGGCTTCTGGTCATTAGATAATAATAATTCTTACTTGCTTAACCAAGGTTAACCATTTTTTTCTTTCAGTTTTATAGGTCAATCTACTCTTAAATTCACAAGTGTAAGTGTCTGTCATTTTCGAACGCCTTTTACCATAATTTATCAATGGACATCAATTGATTCGACATCAATTGATAATTGAAGTATTTTATATAGTTATATTCATAAGTAAGATGTTATTGGATTATTTGGTATTGCATCACATAAATTCGTTAATAAAACTTATTTATTAAAATGTGCTCGATTTTTGCTAAATATGATTATTAATAAAAATAAAGAAAAATTCCACGCTAATGTAAATTACAAAAATTTACGATCTTTTGCCGGTTGCACTTGTTGACAAATTGAACACGTGACATTTAGCCAATCAATTTTACATCCTTTAAACACTCTTATACGACGAGTTATCGGCTACAAATTTTTTTAAATGTCCCGCAATAATTATAATGTGTGTATATAAAGAAATAATGAATGAATGAATGAAACGATTAATTTTTTGATAACCGATTTAATTGACAGATTGTAGGTTAAACCATATGAATAAGTAAATAGTTCGTAATTAATACTCTACTAGTTTTTTTAGATTGGATATCCTGAAACTACCGAAGCTTCTAAATCCCGAGAGATTATTTAAAATCACTTGATTTTACTAATAAATTAAAGTTTCGAAAACGGGGTCATAAACTCTTTGATCCTAACACTTGAACAGCTTTGTACCGCTTCGGGCGCATCGCCTTCTGCTTCTCTATTGTTTCTAGTATTCGAAAATTTTTTTTAAAGCTATAAATACTGTCGCAAAAAGGTTGTATAACGATGATCAAAATTTTTGGGCGTCTTCATCTATTTTTTTCTTATTCCGTTCAAAATAAATATTAAATATTTAAGTATGTCCATCCAATTTTTTTCAAAATTAAGTTAAAGTCAAAACTATGTTGAAATCTTGAAGGATAATGGCCGGTACACACGATATTTTCTTATAAAGCAACAGTAGGTGGCATTCCGCTTTTATTTTCCGTAATATTTCAAACAGGACTCTTTGAAAGATTTAATAACCCACACTATATTTTATTAAATTATACCAAAATTGAAATCAAAATACTCCCAAATTTAATTAGTGTAAGGTTTGATTTGAATTTTGTTGATATATAAATATAACTAGAAGAAATCACAATGTTACATTATTCATTTGATTTCATCAGTCACTGAAATATATCGTGTTTGTTATTGTATTTATTGTATTATTTTAGAAATATTATCATGATTGTACAAGTAATCTAAGAACGATTTTATTTATTTGTTCAGATAGAGTAAATGTTAATAAACCGTCTATATTTTTTTTTACTTTAATGTTATTTTATTGTAATAAAAAGACATTAGCAATAATTTACACGAAGCAATTAGGTTATAATAGCCGTACATCGTCAGCAAATCCTGGTCATGTCCCTTTGTTGTTTTGCAACAGAGACCAATGATCATTGGGGAATATTATTTTTAATACATTTTATGAAGGAGCAATTGATTACACGCGTACCGACAATTTTGAACCCGCAAAATTTCCCCTCCGGAGATCAAGTCAAACCGGCAATGAATGTATATGCGCATTGTTATTTTGAAGACAGAAATGATGAGTAAACAACTTGCTTACAAAGTTGCACATTAATTAATCATTATTATTTTTATTCATAAATCTTGAAATAATAATTTTAATTGAAAGAAAAGCAGATTAAATTTTGTTTAAAGTAAACCAGAAATTTCTGGTTTACTTTTACGCGTAGATATATTAATAATATAAAAAATAAAATATAATAATAAAAACCAATATAATTGCTTGTTTGAAGAATCTTAGGATTTATTTTTTTTTATCATTCCTCTCATCACAAGTAGACAATTTGCAATCGCAATGCGTCACAACTTTCCATCATTTCACCGCTTATTCTGAGAACTTAGAATTATTATAATATTATTCATATTAAAACCCTTAATTAATTCAATTATTAATTTCGATAAAAAAGAATATATATTATTTATTGCATATGATAATAATGAACTGCTGTGTTTCTAGTCATAAATAGTATCAGATAAACAAGAATTGAACCTTTCAGAATATCATTCGTGTGATATGTATAATATAGAATTCCTACTAGAGATAACTTTCAAACGTAGTTTAAAACGACTCAAAATATCTTGAAAAATAAAAGCTCATCAGGAACATGTGACGTTTGTACATAATGACATAATCCTAAATATATTAGGAATTTCCTCAATATTTCTACACATTTTGTACAATATTTATAGGTATTTAGTACAATAGATAATTTACTATCATCCATGCTATATATAGTATCATTAATTTTCACGACAAATTAAATCCGTTCTTTTATTTTATAGACTAATTCAGTTGTGAATTTGTTACCTAGCTAATATGGCAAGCGGAACTAATAATTAACGTTTATTTTTTGATAATTGAAGATTTTTTTTGATTTAAATTTCCTAAGCCGTGTCAACATTTCTTTCTGAGACACAAAGTAATTAATAAAATTATCAATTCAAATAATTTATATAACCTGTTCGTAACCCAGAGATCACGTGAATTATTTTTCTCGGCGACTAATTGAAGAGAGAAAATTCATAGCGTGAGTGATTATTACTCTTCTTTACATAATCGCAACCAGAAATGATAATTAATTTTTACCGAATAACTCAATAGCTTTCAATGAAATCTTTCTAATAAACAACAAAATTGAAAGTTTATGTATTTACGAATTATATTATATGTAAAATAATTTTACACCATTTTTGAAAGGTCGACACTCAAAAAATTATAAAATTATAACAAGATAATGACATCGAACATTTATTAATCTTACAGAAAAAAAAACATCCCGATAATATCGTTGGGCGAATCTCTACCGGGGTTCGTAAAGAGACCTTCGTACGATCTTCACATACGAAATCAGATTGAATCCGCTCAAAAATTTAAATTAGCATGTACACAATTTTCATGTGTAAAAGATTTTATAATTTACCTTTATTAACCACTTTAAAATTATGTACGTATGGCTATTCATCTTTTCTTTAGTTAATAAGATTCATCAACATTCATAAAAGTTTCGAATTTGTGTTAGGGAAGTGACATTTACTGATAATTTGATTGATTATACATTATTAATAAAAGGCAATGACATATTATTTACCTTCCCATATAAGAAGATATAGCATAACATTATTAATTAATAAAATAAATTGCTATATAAAGATGATAATTCTGATATAATAATGATCAATATAATATTATACCATATTAAGGTTTTACGTTTATGATACAGGAGTCGTGGTTTCGATGGTACTTGCGTAACATGGTCGTATGATCATTTGTGCGACGATTAATTTGACGATAAATTCTTTTGAAGTATTTCAAACATATATAGATAAACTGTAAGTACAACATTACAACGAAAACATCTAAATTATATTACGAGATATAATAAATATTATAATTACTATTTCTTTAATTAATAATTTTAAAAGTAACTAAAGTAACTGATTAAAGATAAGATTTTCTTAAAAATTTAAATCTGAACTCAGAAAGGAATTTGGTATCCCATATTATGAACACCAATCAAGTTAGTGAAATTTATTATACGTTGATCATTACCAATCGCTTGAATTAAAATGGAATTGTGAAAAGGAAAATACTTTATATATATATATAACGAAGATTAAAATAATCGTGCAAATTTTTTTACCATTTTTGTTTTTTCGTACAGTTATTGTAATTCTGTTTTGCATTGAAGATCTTTCCAAACTTTATTAAAAAAATTATGTACAAAAAGCAGGGTTAAAAATTTTCGCATAAAAAATTTTTTTTTTTTTTTTTTTTTTACTTATTAAAAATTCATATATATATATATATAAATATATATATATATATATCATAATATTTATGTACATATAATAAAATAAAATGGAAAATGAATGTTTATCACAACTTTCTTATGATTTTGGAAAACTTTTTGAGAATGGAGAAAATTATGATACGATAATTCAAACTGGTAATGGGAATAATAGAAAAGAAATTAAGGTACATTCGCTTATTTTATATGCTCGTTCTTCATATTTTCGTACGGCACTTTCAAAAAATTGGGTTAACAGAGAAGGAGGGATTATTAAATTTAAAAAACCAAATATTTCACCAAAAATTTTCAACTATATATTAAAGTAAGTTTTTTTTTTAATAATAAGTTCAACTTTTTAAAATTATAAAAATATTTAATCATTTCTTTTTTTTTATTTCAAGATATTTATATACAGGAAAACTTGATTTTAATGGTTATAAACCTATAGATTTGATTTTAATTTTAGTCGCAGCCGATGAAATGAATATTACAGGAATCGTAAAATACTTATTACAATATTTAGTTGATAATCATCAAAATATTTTACAAAATGATCCCGTAAATATATTACAGAATATATTACATCATGAAGTATGTTCACAATTAAGAGAATATTGTCTTGATTATATTTGTGAGAGACCAAATTTATTATTTAATTCGGAAAAGTATTTATCTTTAGATAAAAGTTTACTCTTGGCTTTATTGGATAGAAAAGATTTATTCATGGATGAAATTGAAGTTTGGAATTATTTAATTAAATGGAGTATTGCACAAACATCTATAATTCATAATATTGAAAATTTAACAAATTGGACTTCAGATGATTTTAATCTATTAAAAGAAGTTATTTCAGAATTTATTCCATTAATTAGATGGTTAAGTATATCTTCAACAGAATTTATTCAATATGTTATTCCATTTAAAAAGATTCTTCCAGAAAATTTAATTGAAGAAATTACATGTTATTATAATAATTCTAAACCTAAATTAAGTTTACCAAATTTACCTGCAAGAAAAGAACCACTTGATTCTATCCTTATTAATCAAAAACATCTTTCAATCATTTCGAATTGGATTGATGATAAAGTTAGCGAAGATATTGATTGTATAATGATACCTTATACATTTAAATTACTTTTTAGAGCTACAAGAGATGGATTTAATAATGAAAAATTTCATGAATTATGTGATAATAAAGGTGCAATATTTGTAGTTATTTCTTTACCAAATTCATCAAATTTAATTGGAGGATATAATCCACTTGATTGGAAACCAAAATTTGATAAAAGACATGGAAATAATTGGTGGAAAACTTCTAAAAGTTTTTTATTTTCTTTTACAAAAAATACTTCAAAAGGTGTAATTAGTCGTATTTCACGTGTGAATTCTTTAAAATCTGATAAAGCGATTTTATATAATGAACAATTCGGTCCTGGTTTTGGTGGTGGTCCAGATTTAGTTTTAAGTAATAATCAATTATATTGTAAAAGTCATAGTACTTATCCTGATTCACAATCATTTATTTCCGCGGGATTAACTAAGATGGAAAATTACGAAGTATTTCAAATTATAAGAAAAAAATAAATTGATAGAGGAAAGATTTCTTGATTTTGAGTTTTTATTATATTATGGGAAAAGATTTTCTTATTAAAGAGAACAATTTTTTTAAAAGATTGATGAAATGGATCCAAGTGATTTGTTTTCATATAGGGATTTTACTATTAATAAAGCATAGTTATGTTTTTAAATATGTATACTAATAATATAAATCTACATAACATTGTGAATAATTTGGGACGTTCTCCTTTACAAATATTTAAGCTATGAACCAATCCTAACATACATATAAAAATTTATTACATATAAAAAATGGCCAATTAAAAATGATTACATATAAATTTGATTAAAAATGATTATATGTAAATTGATTAAAAATGATCACATAAAATGATATTTAAAAATGATTAATAAAAATGATTAATAAAAATGATTAATAAAATTGATTAATAAAATTGATTAAAAATGATTGATTAAAAATGATATATAAAAATGATTACATATAAAAATGATTTTATTATTTATCTTAAAATTTAAATTTATTACATGATATAGAATCGATTTTTTTAAACCGCTATAACCGGTTACGATAACAAATACTGGACAGTGTATATAAACTCGAAATTTTAATAACTGAATCCCTTTTATTTTTTTTAATACAGGGTTAAAATGTGAACGATATAGATTGTAGTCTTACAGCTGATTTCAAAAAGGTCGGGACACTTAACAAAATTTTAAAGAACTCGGAAATATTCGGTAAAGCTTGATATAAAATAAAAATTATACGCTAATTTTGGAGTAATATTCCGAGAATGGTGATATAATTTTATCTTATTTTGAGCTTTACCGAATATTTCCGAGTTCTTTAACTTTGCTGTGTCCCGTGCATTATGAAATCAGCTGTAATGTTTTTTTTTTAATATTAACCGGTTAATTAAATTACCGGTTAATTAAGTTGCTTGAAGTTTCGCCTATCGAAGAACGACACTATTATAAAATTTATGATCTTACAATATAAATCGGCTTTTTTATTTACAATAAAATGTATAATGTTTTTAGTTTATTCTGTTTCCCTGAATTTTATGCATATGTGATTTACCTATCAAACATATCAACGAATTTTTCAATTTAAATGTCTGCCAATTACGTGCGAAACGTTGAAATTCACCCCGATTTTTATTATAACAACCATGCTGTTTTTAGATGGATTCGAAATTAAGGGTTTGAAAACTAAGTTCACGAAAATGATTTCTTGTTGAATTCTCTTGGCATTTTTTTTAACCCCTAAAAAAGCTTAATAATTGTTAATAAAATTAAGGAGATTGTAAAAATTAATTTGACTTAAATGTCATTAAATTTCACATTCTATTGCGTTCTTAATTAACAAAAATTGATAATCTACATTCGTTTATTCATTTGCAAGGACCCTCAAAATATATATATAGTTCAAGGGATGTCGAAATTTTTTACTAATAGCTGTACGCAAGGGTTTTTAATAAGGTCGGTACGCAAAAATTTACACCCAACTCCAAAATAGTTAGGCAAATCTGACTTTATCATCATGTGATAGTCGAGCAAACATATAATTGTAAATGTACTATGTTTTACTATCGTATATTATACATATTAATAAAATGCAAAAAAAAAACTTTGCTTTCTGCTATTATATTTTTCAATGATATCTTTTGGATCAAAAATAACCATATAATACTGGTTTTTATTTAGGGATGTTAAATTGCTTAAGTAGCTCGGAAGTAGTTTATCGAAAATTGCTTGGTATGAGTATCATTTTCTCTTACTATAATATTGGTAAATCTCGTTTATAATAATCTTTTAGCCAAGTTTAATTAATGAAGCTAAGCAATTCAACTTGTCTATAATGAGAAATCAATATTTTTAGTTGTTAGGAACCAGGTTCGAAACCGGTTCGGTTCTAAAGTAGTTCGAAGCAATTACATATTTTTTTTCTTTATTGACAATTAATTAAATTTATTGACATCAATTTTTTAGGTAAAGTTACTTATTGTAGTAAAGTAGTTCGACTCATCTGTATTTAATTGTTCAAATCGTTTCCGAACTACTTAACATCCCTATTTTCATTACTCAATAGCTGATACATTAGTTGGCAAATATGATAAATGCGAGATGATATTACATCCTTCTATAATTCCAAATTTGTATTAAAAATGCGCGAATTTAAACCCTTACATTTAAAAAATACCAATTAAAATACGCAAATAAATAACACGACTTCAGTTAAAAAATCCATAGATTGTTACGCAAATCAAAATATATCTCCGTAAATAATTATTATGATGGTGATGTAATAGTGCATCCTACCTCTACCATATTATATTTCGGGGGTCTTCATTTGCATATGATCTCAGGTTCATAGAATCATAGTATTATCCTTCTAATAAAATTATAAGTATCCAAAATTCACGTTTAATTATTTTTAGTCAACCTGTCAACTGACTGAATTAAAAAGGAATAATCAAAAATAATCGCATTTATATTTACAAAATTGTACAATCCGCAATTAAAATAAGGAGGTCGTTAAGGGAATAACTAATAAGGAAGTTATGGGATAAGGGGGGAAATTCAATTAATAAGGAGTTATGGGTTAAATATCATTCATAAAACACATGGCTTAACGCATGGCTTTTCGCATGGTTTTTCAGTCATTTCCATATATGTATAGGATTGGATGAACAATGAAAAAATTCTGAAATTTGAATTTTTAGGTTTTTTTTTAAAAAAAATGAAGTTTTAATATTCCAAATATTCCAATACCCCTTATATGCGTGAAATTTGAAAAAAAAAATACAGATTGATGAAAAATTTAAATATGTAATAAATAAATTAAGTAATATATATCGTCTCTATTTAATAAAATACTGTACATATATGCTAGTGCTAAAAACACTAAAAATACTAAATAGGTACGAATTGAAGTAATATTTAAAGTAATATTTAAAGTAATATTTTACACATAAATTTACAACATAATTTGACAAATTAAAAATAAAATAAATAATAAAAAAAAAAAGTTTACGAAATTTCATATTGTCCATTCGTATATAATGTTCATTCGTATACTTCTTAATATAAATCAGTAACGATTTAAAAATTTTTCTGACAGTAAATTCTACGAAAAATAAGATAAGAATGATAATCATTTTCCATCGAATGTTGATTTAATAATCTTTCGTATTCCCCTTCACTCATTCTTAACGGGACAAACACCTTTTTTAATGAACAAAACATCATAATACTCCATTTTAAAGCCTACATTAAGAACGGGAAGGTTATTTAAAAAGATATTTACAACCGACAAAAAAAATAAAAATATTAATATAAAACTTACTAATTTTCCAAAATCTCCGCCCCAATTTCCGATGGGAACAAGTCTTTCATCTGAATAAATGCGACCAATTAGATTGGTAGCATCCAAAAAGTCAAAGATCCCTTCGGTCATAATATTATCACTACTACTAATTCCTTTACATTCTAAATATTCACCAACTTTATTTGAAATGAAAATAAATTTAAAATTAATTTCTTAAAGAAAAATAAATACAAAAAAAAAGAAATATTTTTAATTAACTTACATAACGCTAATAAACGTTTAGAAGATGGACTGACAAGTTTAGTTTCTTCAATGTCTAAAAGTTCTATCCATCCATTTGGTTTACATACTCTGACTAATTCTTTAATAACTTTTTCTTCCCATTGTTCTTCGGTGAATTCCATTAAAACAAATCTCATATGTACAAAATCAAATGAATCATCTTCAAAAGGTAACCCCTCTAAAATATCACCTTGAGTAAACTGCAAATTATTTTGTGAAAAGTCCTTAGGAAATTTTGAAATTTTATCCAATCCAACAAATTTTGCTGACGGATAATCTTCTGAAAGTTGTAATAGCCACATACTTGAACTACCACATCCTACATCTAATACTTTAAAGTCTTCTCTTTTTAATTCTTGTTCAATCGGAGAAACAAAATTGGCTCCCCAGCATTGCTTCATCATTTCATGTAATAGTCCTGATTGGTTGAACATCATTTCATTACTTTTCGTTAGACAATTACCAGCTTTAGCACTAATTTCATTTTTTGATAGTAATTTTTGTACTTGAGACATCGTTTTAATATTAGGCAAAAGAAAATCTTTTATTCAACAAGAAATAAGGATGAAGAGGCTATTTTTATATCTTTAAATTTTTTAAAATTTTGTTCCTTATTCATATGAAATTATTATGTAATTAAATTCAATTATAATTGTCCAAATACAATCGACATTCAATACTAATTGCCCCTAATCTGTACAAGGGTATGGAATAAAGATTTACAAATCACAGGTTTGAACTTTTTTTTTTGATAAAAAAGATTGCCAGAAATAAACGTCATTTCTCGTCATCTTCTATGCATGTGCTGTGTTGTATGTGTATTGAAATTTTGAAAAATAAATACATCTTGTCAAAGTGCTATTTGAAATCAATAAAACAAATTTTTTGCTACACAATTTCAATTATTTCCAACACATTATCCTTAAATTATTATGGTATTAAAAGTATTCAGTAATTTTCGATCAGGTATATATGAATATACTTTTATTTATAATTTATGATATCATACTAAGGCTATTTATAAGTATAATATTTAACAAAATACAAATATAAATTATTTATTCCTATTAATTGAATTTTGGAAACTAATCTTTTTGATCGCGATTCTAAAGATAAAAATAAATTTTTTCTTTAAACCATAAAATTATTAGCCCGTAATTTAAATCTTACCTTTAAAAAACACCTAAGGCTGAAGAAAAAAGAATTCATTCGAAAATAATGCATCTAATTAAAAGTAAGAATAACTAAAAAAATAACGTTCGCTTTAATAAAAAGGCAAAAAAAAAAAAACGCTATAAATAAAACTATTACTTTTTACAATTGAATAGAGTTTGGTGACATAATTTGTATCCTGTTTTATAGTCAATATACATGTATATACAATTGACTTATACTAAAACTAAAATACTCCCCTATCAATAATATTTTATCGCCTACACCAACAATACGATAAAAAAAGGTCATATACTAATAATATGATCGTTTCCTTCCCCTATACCAATAATATGATAGGAAATGGTCATTTGGCCATTTTTCGAATTAGGGAGTCATTTGTCCAAAGGGTCATACTGTAAATCATTTGAAATTTGTCAAATGTAGAACTGTGATAAATGACATCATTCGTCATTAAGTGATCACGTATTTCGTTTAGAAACACCTAGTATCAGTTAATAGTGTTTAGTTTATTTCACTTATTAGGAAAAGAATGAATACTTAATATCAGTGGATTGTAAGATTTGGACGTTTCGAACTTCCCCAGGGTGCATTATTTGCGTCGTCATGGGGTTAGGGATTTTGAATAACGGGCAATCTATAAATTGTTGTGGCGAAGTCATGTTATTAATTTGCGTATTTAATTGATTCTTTTAAAGTAAGGGGTTTGTTTTAATACAAATTCGTCAAGGAGAGATATATATTTACGCATAATAAAGAATATATCACAGAACACATATCATATTGACAGTTTTGTATTATACATCCTAAAAAAGTAGTGTGCTGTGGTAAAAAAAATAAAATTGGAAAGACTATCTTGACCACCATGCTTAATAAGAATGTATTGAAAACAATACAAAACAATACACTAGTAAGCTTTTTTACATTTTGTGGAACGATCATTATGATCATTATGATAAAGTCAGGCTGTCAGGGGATTAGTTTCCAACTTTGGGGTTGGGTGCTAATTTTTGCGTATTTATTCAAAACCCCTGCATACAGCTATTACAGCTATTAGTAAAAAATTTAATGTTGACATTTATTTCGGGGTCTATAGGTCTATATAATAATATAAAAATTGTAGTTATTTAATGATGATCAATTCGTTTTTCACATGTTTTAAAATAAAAATCACAATCTAATAATATATGACATTTTTTATTTTTTTTTACTATTTATTTTTTTTTATGCTTTCATTAAATGAACACAAAAAAGTTTTTTTATGAATGCTCGGAAAATTTTTAGGTTAAAAATTCTATTAGTTATAATTGTAGACCTTTATAGATATAACTAGTTCATCCCATAGACCTTCTTGAATAAATTATGTGAAAAAAAAAATTTTAGCATTAATATAAATAAAAGAGATAAAGGATCAGTTCATGGTACTGGTATCCATAGATCAGTAATTTTATGAAAAAAATTTGGTCCTTTTGTCAAATTAAAAAATCAAAAATATTATTTGAGTAATTTTTCATATCGAAAATCATCTACGATCGTTTCTTCAATTAGAAAATCTTCCTATCTAAAAATACTTATCGACAGTAATGGAAATTGGATCTGCGTAAAAAGTTAAATTTCCGCGCATGTGATTGGAATGTAGATTAGGCGTGATATTTCATAATGGAGCTTACTATAATTTATTTTAAATATAAGAGAGCATATGACTTCATAGGTTGCGCATAAAACTTTTACGAATAATGTGCGTTCTGCGCGTATAATCATAAGTTTATAAGATGCAAATAAATTTAAAGTTCGTTAAGAAAAATTGCGACATTATTCGGGGTTTATTTTTTATTTTATAATTCTATTCTAAAATACACGTTTAATTTGTTGTCTAAATTGGGAAACATTTAAAGTTGCATACTGACTATTTTATAAATAATAAATCTTCAGTAAATCTTCATATGCCGGTTAGAACGATTTTATTTTTATTTTTATTTACACTAACAAAAAAAATGCTAGAAGTACTCGAATCAGAAAGAGAGACCTGAGTCAAGAAATACGAATACAGTCAGAACTCGATATAACGAACCTCCGGTTCCAAAAATTTATAAGTTTGATATACCGACTTTTATATGTTCATATATAAAGATTAACCCTTAAAAAATCGCTTTATCGTGAATTCGTTTTATTTTATTTTATTTTTTTATTTTTAAATCCACGTGAACACGTTCACGATACAAATTACAAGGACAAACTAGACGTAGGTCAGGAGTAATTCTAAACTAATCGAGAACAAAACCGCCATGTAAGACCCTGATGTCGAAATAAAAAGAACAGTGGAGGGGCACTAATTAACCTACCCCGCCCACGAAGCACTAAGGTATAAAGGCAAAAAAGGATAAAAAAAAATAAAAGAACCAAAGATCTAGGTACAGGAGTTCGAATGACTATATAAGAAGAATTATACATATAAGAATAAAAATCTATATCATTAAAAAGTAAAGAATCCCGATGGGATTGCCAAGATCAGGCATGAAGAAAATTACTAGAGGTCCATCTAATGCAGGCAGAATCATCCAATCTAACGTTGGTTTTTGAGTAGGGGAGGCCATGAAAGTACGAGCGTGGTGCGCGAGTAGAAGAACGTTCATTTTCGCGACGCGAATTGCGACGCGATGTAGGCGTGTCAGCATCTCGGAACCGTGAACGATAGTAAAGTTTATCCTTTCTGGTAATATTTAACGAGCGTTCCCATTGTTTAAAGGAGTGATTAGTACGTTTTCTCCAAGTCACGAGCTGTAAATCACGAATGAAATCAGCGACATATTTCAGCAGAAGAGGGTCACGTGAGGATTGTGGACTTATGTAGTTGTAAAATAATGAAGTGAGATCAGTAGGAATTAAATCGTGAATCAATAAAAGTCCTGGATGTGATAAAGGAAGGGACCTTCATCAAGATGGTCGAGAAGGCGAAAAATTGGTGACGCAGTTACGCGATCCGCAATGTCAAAAGTGGCCATGTTCGTGTGTTTTGTAAGCAAGTCTATCAAGACATTTTTGTGTTTAGTCAAAACTTGTTTAATGTCATCATGATGTCGTTCACATAAGCCAATGTGGGAATTGGAATCCATTTCCAAGTTGCAATCAGGACAATTGATAAGGCCAGTAGGATAAAGGCGTGGATAATTTGTCCGCCGTGGGATATATGAAATTAGATCTTTTAACTTTAGAGCCTTGAATGCGGGATAAGGCTTTGCTGGTAGGTGAATCCAGTGGATTGTATTTCATCCATGACTTAGTGTAATCCCAATCTATGGAGCCATGAGAAATATGTTCTTCAATTGGTAGAAGTGAAGAATTGTTAACCTGAGAGTTGAAGATGCGTGCTTGAATAGGAGTATTACTCCATTATCTAATGTTCCGTTCGACTATGTGAATATCGTTCCATTTAACGAAACCTAAAGAGGTGTTCGCAAAAAATTTCGGGTTTACTATAATAGGATCAAGGATATTAGCACCTTCGATCGTGAAATTCGTTTTTTAATTCGTTATATCGAGTTCATAGTGTTACTATCAATCACGTGATCCGATTTGTGCGACGTTCGGATTTATCGACAATGTTATAATAATACTGACGTTCACAATCGTAATCCCGAAAATTCGAATTCATTAATCCCGACACTAATATCCACATGAATACAAAAATTTTGAAATTTTGAAATATATGCAAAAAATTAATATAAAGCAATTTATTTTTTCTAATTAACTAATAACATTAATTCATTTTAAGTATTATTAAAATTATTTTAAAAATATTAATAAAAATATTTAATTTTTACGACGCAGCCCATTAATAAAAAAAAAATACCGGTATTAATTTTTACAATATATTAAACAGCGAAACATTTTAACGTTTAAAAAAAACAATATAAAATTAAAAAAAAAAAAAGATTGTGAGCGTCGGGATTTTGAATGTCCTGCAGGTTACGATCTTATATTTGTATTATTTATCAATGGACGCTGATTGATCATTAAGAAAAATTGAGGTGGAAAATACACGATCCTTAAAATCGTTCGTTTTATTTAAGAAAAAATTTTTTTTACAAATTATGAAATATGAATTCTCTTAAGATATACAATTACCATGAATTAAATTATATCTTTTAATTCAATCAAATTTTCCATTTCTTTTCTTAAAAAATACTTATCCTTAAAAGTTTCGGGAACATTTTGACAAATATTTTGATGATTTGGTAATAAATAACGCATATTAGGAAGACGAATTAACTTATTACTCTTACCAATATTAATTCTAGTGAATCGAACATAATCTATTTGCTATAAATTAAAAAATAATTATATTAATTATAATAAATTTCTATTCTTATTTTATTTATTTTGAAAAGAAAATTGAATAATATAAATTATTACCATATCAATAGAACCGGTGATTTCAATTGAAAGTCGACATTTCGGTTTCCATATATATTTTGGAAGCATATATTCAAGCCAACCTAAACCTTCAAACTTTAATATATCCTTATATCTCATTATATGCTCTCTAGCATGAAGTTCATTTGAATTCTATAAATAAACAAAAATTTTAATTAATATCGTAATTTCGTAATTTATATTAAAAAAGTTTTAATCAAACTTACTTTTTCTCCTTGTTCAACTACAAATTTTAAAATACAATCCGTTGAAATTACTTTTCTAACATTTATTTTCCATATAATATAATAATTTGTACCAAATGAATTAAATTCAAAAAGATTATAAAATGTTGGCAAATTCAATTCAAACATTTTCTCTTTTTTAAGGGATAATATTCGTCCCGTAAAACTTAAAAAATTTATAAAAATAAAATTAATTATAAGCTAAAAATTAATTACATTATATATAAGAACAAATATATAAATCTTACCCATTTGTATCATCATCTTGAAATCGACTTAATTTATTATTCAAATTTGTAAGGCATGAAACGAAATAAACCATTCGTTCTATAATTAAGTCAATTAGCATTTATTATTATTTTAATTGAAAAAAAAAAAAAATTCTTACCTTTATACATATATTTATAAAAATTATCAACTATACCAATATCATTTAAATCATCAATTTTACAATATTCACACAAGTATAACCAAAAATCCGAATATTCTTGTAATGAATTAATCGACGGAATTTCTTTATCATTACTTAATTCAAATAATCCATCCAAATCTAATCTTGCTTCATTATACTTTCTTAATTCGACATATATTTTACATCTAATAAAGAGTAAAAATTTATCATCAATAATATCATCACTTAATTTTGATAAAATTTCATATTTTAAATCTTCGGAATTATTAATTTTTAATAAATATTCTAAATGATATAATTTAATCTTTGCTAAAACATCATCAGAATCTAATAATGATAATTCTTTATATTTGTTATATGCTATTATAGCATTATTAATATCTTTAGATGTATGATAAGTTATACATTTATGATAATATGCTAAATTATTTAATGGATCCAATTCTATAATTTTATCAAGATCATATAAAACTAAACCATAATCTTGAAGAACATAAAATGCAATAGCTCTTTTATATAGGATATGACGATTTTCTGGATCTATATTAATCGCTTTTATAAAATATCGTATAGAATCATAATACATTCCCATATTACATAAAATTTCTCCATAATAGCATAAAATCAAAGAATCATCCTTATTAATACTTAGTAATCTATCTAATGTTTCTAGAGCGCTATAATAATTTTCTTGCTTTTCATAACTATATGCGCAATTCTTTAGACAACTATAATAATTCGGATCATTTTTTAATGCAATATTATAATGAATTGAGGCTGATTCATATTTTTTTGTAAAAAGATAACTATTCCCAGATATTACATATAGATTTTTTATTTTTGCCTTATAACTTAATGATCTATTTAAATGATCTATTGCTTTTTCATATTCTTTTTGTCTAAAAAATAATTCTCCACGAAGGAAATAAGCCATTGGAGTTTTTTCTTTTAATTTAATAGCTTCATCTAAATATGAATGTGCTTTATCGTACTTATTAAGACATCTATAAATATATGCTAAAATACATCTCATGGAATAACTTTTAGGAAAAGTTTTTAGAAATTCGTTACACCAATGTTCAGCTTTTGTATAATTGTTTCCATTTAATTCCTTTACAATATTTTGATATGTCGGATGTTGTTTTCTTGAAAGTTTTGGAAATATTGATGATAATAATACATTTGAATTTAATTTAATCGCGTTCATAATTTTCTTTTTTTTAGTTAATATCTGATCAACTTCGGGATTATTGGAATCATCACTATCATATTCAATTATTTGACCTCCTGAATCTTCTAATTCAATAGAAGGTAAAATATATCCAGCTTCAAAAAATTTTGAATATAAATTTTTATAAATAGAATCTTGTAATAAATATCTAATATCATTATCTTCAATTTTTTCTCGACATTTAGGACATTTTTTCTTTTTTAATTTATTTAAACTATTTAACGATAATATATGTTGACATTTTAAGATACATAATTGATCTGTTGGTTCATTATTAATTGGACAAGTCATTTCATCCGCTATAATATCTAAAATATTATTACGCGTATTCAGATCAAAACTTTTTCCTTTTCCTTTTCCTTTTCCATTTTCTCTCTCTCCTTCTTTTCCAATATCATCATTTAAAATCTTGAGATCTTCATAATATTTTTCTTTAACAAATGTTAACAAGTTTTGAAATTTTTCTAAAGAATCTGTTATTGAATTATTCTCAATTAAATTTTCTGAATATTGTTCAAAATCAATTTCAATTATTGAAAACATTTGATTATCGATATTATGTAAATGTAATAATAATTCGATTGCTTTAAATTGAATAAAACTACTTGGAGCTTTATTAAGTGATTCAATTGCTAAATAATAACAAAGACCATATGTAGCAGTTCGATTAGATTTTTGAATAAGATCTTGTGCGAGATCCAACATTCCAAACCATAAATTATGTGGTAAAGCGAGAGGTTCATTTCCAGCAATATCATTTAATAAACTTCCAGTACTTCTTAAAGTTTTTGAAACTTTATTTGATATTTCATCAAATTTATTTTGAGAATCTAAAATTGATTTATTAATTACATTACTCCATTCTCTTTCTAAAAAACTCCAAATATATTCTATTAATACCAATTCTCCAAATTTTTTACTTATAATATTTTCAGAATCTTCAGCCCAAATCAAAAGATTACGTTGTATTATTAACATTATTCTCCAATCTACGTAATAGGATGCCACCGGATATTTAAAACTTAAACCTTGACGTAATTGAGTAAGCATTGACATTGTTGAAACGTTACTTCTTATAGGAATACCTGATGTTGCAGATAAAATTCCTGGTGCGATATTTAATGCACCTTTAAGTAAATCTTTAGTTCTTCGTATAATTTCTTGAAACCAAGTCTCATCATCACGTAAACTATGTAATGTATCCCGTAAATGAATTAATAAAAAATCAATATTATAATTTCGTTTTTTAATAATCTCATCATCATCCTTATTATCTTGAAGTTGATTAAATTGATTAAAATCGGATGCATATTTATTATCAATTCCTTCTTGCATAACACGAGTAGTTTTTCTATGAATTTCGGCAAATCTTGATAAAGAATTATAAACTTTATCTCGAAGTTCTTTACTTAAACGCATTTGTGTAAAACAAATTTGTTCTAAAACCGCCACCCAAGTACGTAAATGTAATTCCAATCTAGCGACACTTTGTACATCATAATAATCAAAAGAATCTGGATCTGATAAAGCAACTAATGAATCTCGAAGAATTTTAGGTGAAAATCGATTAATTGGATTTTCGAAAAGTAATTTTAAAGAATATAAATATTCTAATTCTGATATTTCTTTAATAAGAACTTTTGCTTTTTCGTCAGGCGTAATAAATTCATCCTCTTCTAACTTAAGGAGGATACGATTATTGAACGTGGTTTCACGTAAAGTTAATTTAGACGACGACGTAACATTATAGTTAATTTCTAAATTATCGGATAAATTATACTTTATATATATAAAAAGAATAGGTTAGTCAATTTTTACGTATACATAATATAATAATATATATATAATTCACCTGACTTAAATTTGAACTTCCTTCCATAATATAAGTTTTAATGTTTTAAAAATTTTTTTTTTTCTTGAATAATAATATATTTTTAAAAATAAGAAGAATTTATATGTTTGTCAATTTTTATTTAAAAAAAGAAAGATTTCAAAAGTCCGATTCAATAAATAACAATGATTTTATTGTACAATAAAAAAAAAGAGTGTGTAAAAAATGCATGCAGTAAGTAGATCGAAATATTAGGCGTATTATGATATATAGTAATTTCATTCAAAAAATGATTAACATTAAAAATCTTAAATAGAACTAGTTTAATCATCCAATATCTTATTCTCACATGAAATCAAAACCAATCATCTGAACTCTGTTATTAGAAAATTATGGATACATATTTATTTTAAGAAAACATAAAACATAACTCTATATTATTATAAATTTAGCATATGCATAAAAAAAATAAAATGTTTGTTATGAATAACTTCAAAATCCTTCAAGTAAATATCTTCTTAAAAATGAATTATTTTCTAAATGTTTGGTCTTTTTGGAAGACTCTTAGTTTTATTGATCAACGTAGATCTATATTCTTTGTAATCCTATTTTAGGACAAAGTTTACCTTCTTTAACCTGTATCACATTACTATTATAGTCCGACTTCTAATTTTAGCGTATTTATTGTAAATTACCAAAATGATCATCTCATTTTCGTCGCGCCAACTGTGCCAAGAAAAGAAAAAGTAAGAGATTTTAGGATTGATTACTTTTATCATTAGGACCTAGGGCAATAAATCTTTATTATGAAAATCATGGCTGAATCATATGCTCGTAATCATCAGCATCAACATGAATATTTAGTTTAAAAATATCCTTTTTGCATATTAAAGCATACTGCGCAGTAATATTTTCTGAGTTAAATATGGAAAAACCTGTATAACTAATTTCCCATAAATTTCACAACCGATTTCCCGTTTCTCGAAAATTGATTTGCGAAAAATGATCTACCTGCTTTGATGCTGATCCTTTTAGTCACATTCTTTATGGAAACTGCGGCTAAAAATTTCTTGTAATTGACCTTATACCGAAATGGGTAATAAACAATCCCGTTATTCATTTTGTATAACAATTGCAATAATAAAATTACACAGTATTTTTTTACCATTTTTCGTAGAAGGAAAAACTTGAAAAAAAAACCAGATGACTAAATAATCAAAGTTTATACTTTTGACTTTTAAATTTAAATAGACGCATTCCACGTTATAATTATATATTTGTTCCATAATAAATTTCTCCCAAAAATTATTAGATTCAGTATATATTTTAGTCGTTAATAGATACATGTGGTTCCTGCGATGATTTTAACGTGGCTTATGATATATATACATATATGTGCCGTGATGTAGTACACATTTGACTTACACATTGCAAGAATTGTGAAACTATTTATAAAAAATTCCCCGATCAAATCGGACGGCGGCTGATCTTTCTATGAATACATTTATGTACAAATAACATTATTCATGATTGAAAACTTTTAATCTACGAAATGAAATATTTTTTCTTCGTTTTTGATTTTCGTTGATTGGTGTACTATTTATTTATATGTACAACAAGCTGCAAATCGAATCGCAAAATGCCACGTTGACTTTACGCCACACAAAAAACCAATTTTATAACTATTTTTAACGCTAACTTATAATGTATTAAAAATTGATTATAAATTAAATCCCCCCCTTTTCCCCATTTTAAAATTTTTATTTTTATTTTTTTTCTTTCTATAAAAAAGACTTACTAAATTTCAAATCATGGCAAACGAACTTTTAAGCGAGTTATCTAATGATATGGGTAAATTATTGGATCAAGAAGATGATTATAATGTAATCATAAAAGCCGGAGAAGGAAATGATTCACGAGAATTTAAAGTTCATTCATTAATTTTGAGGGCGAGATGTACTTATTTTCGAAGTGCACTTTCAAATAATTGGGCTCATAGAGAAAGTGGAATTATTAATTTTAATAAACCAAATATTTCTCCTAAAATTTTTGAAATTTTACTTAAATATTTATATACGGCTGAAATTGAATTATCTAAACATGAAATTACGATCCTTCTTCAAATTTTGATCGCCGCTGACGAATTAAATTTACAAAAATTAATTTTTCATGTTGAACAATATTTATTAGAAAATCAATATGATTATATAAGAAAGGATCCAATTAAAATTCTTAAAATAACTTTTAGACATGAAGTATGTTCAATATTAAGGGATTATTGTTTTGAAGTAATATGTGAGGATCCAAATCTATTATTTAAATCAAAAGAATTTTTAACTTTAGATAAATCATTATTATTATCATTAATTAAACGTGATGTTATAAATTTAGAAGAAATTGATCTTTGGAATAATTTAATTAAATGGAGTTTATCACAAATCAATAATAATAATAATAAGGATGAAAAATTTTCTAATTGGAATGAAGATAATATTAATAATTTAAGAGATTTAATTCAAGATTTTATTCCTTTAATTAGATGGTTTCAAATTACTTCAAGTGAATTTAGGAAATATATTTTACCTTATAAAAAAATTATACCAAAAGATTTATTTCATGAAATTTTATGTTATAATTTAGATACTTCATATGAGGTTAAAACTATTATTTTACCCCCAAGAATTTCACAAAAATCTGGTAAATTGGATTCTTTATTAATTGAACAAAAACATGCTGCAATAATTTCAAGTTGGATTGATAAACAAGAAATCAATTTTTATGATCGTAAAAGGTTACCTTATTCATTTAAATTATTATATAGAGCGAGTAGGGATGGTTTTTCAGCAAAAAAATTTCATAAATTATGTGATAATAAAGGTTCAACTGTTACTATAACAAAAGTTCGTTCAAATGGTAAATTAATTGGTGGTTATAATCCATTGGATTGGAAACCTCATTCAGAATTATCTTATTTATCAGGTGATAGTTGTTGGTATTCTACTTTTGATAGTTTTTTATTTTCTTTTCCATTAAAACCTTCTTCAAATGACAATTTTACTCCAAAAATAGCTAGAATAGGAAATGGTGGTAATATTTCAGATTATGCAATAGGTTATAATATCAATTATGGTCCTTCTTTTGGTGGTGGTTGGGATTTTTCTATTCAAGATAATAATTTAATTTATAGTTATGGTCCTTATTCTTATCCTGATTGTGGTAATTTTATAGCCAAAAATCAGCAACTTAAAATAGATGATTATGAAGTATTTCAAATAATCAAAAAATGAATAATCTTAATGAAATATAATGATAAAAAATTTATTATAAAAAAAAATTTTTTTTTTTAACTGTAAACCTATAATTGTATATTTTACAGAATGATACTGCTTCTGGTAAATTTTTAAAATGATGTATATAAATGCATTTTTTTTTATTGGTAATTTTAGAATTCCAAACTAATTAAAAAATAACTTGCAGAAAATCTAAGTTGATTAATTATCAAATTTATTTAAAATTATTTAGTAATTAATTATATTTATTTAATTAGATATTTATTTCTTAATAGTTGCTATTTTTATTTATATAAATGATTAATGTTCTTTTAAACAAACTGTATACTTGATATTAAATATATTAAAATAAAAAAAAAAATCAGATATTGGATAAAATTAAAAATCAATTAATTTAATATATTAGATTTATTACTAAAAAATTTTAAAAAAAAGCTTGGATTTTTTGTTAAATAATTAAAAATTTAATTAAACCAATTTAAATAACCAAGTTTTTCATTTCTATAATAATATTTTTTTTTTTTATTCTAATAAATATTTTTTTTTTAATTGACGATCCGCGAGTCAACTAGAGAAATTACATATAAAATTTGACGCAAATCATATACTAATTTGTCATAATACGCCGACTTTAATGATTTCTGATGTAACAAAAACTATAAGCATAGTTTACTAAAAATAACACAAACAATAAAGTAAANTACCTTGGAAGCACGCGGCATTTACTATGTTATTAGGTAAACTAAGGTTTTAAAAGTACAAATTATGGAAATTTTTTTATATTTCACTAAACTTTCATGCATATTGCTTTATTTTTGATTTATTTTATTAGTAAACTATGCTGTAATAACTTTTAACTCGACAAATTCAAGACTTTTTCACACTCATTATACAAGTGATATGGTATGATAAAACTAGTTTTTGTCTTTCGAATCTCAGATCTCTTAGAAATTGGACTTTTTTCCAATGTTACATTATGATTTTTTTTGCATGAGATTGGTGGGAAAACTGTGGAAAACTATTTCATTAAAGAAAAATGGCGTTATTTAAACATTTGGCTAGAGAAATTCATGAACAACCCCACATTCTGAAATGCGGCTTTTAATTAATAAATTTCCGTCAAATTTTATTATCGTTTTCGCTACTTGACTCGCGGATCACCAATTAATATATTAAAATTTTTTATTTAAAATATAGTCTGTTATATTATTTTAGATGACTTTATAATATAAATTAACAAATATTATAATTAATTATTATATATTTAATAAATTCATTAAAATAATAAATCTTATTATTATTAATTAAAAAAATTGTCTATAATATTGAAAGACATTATAGAATTAATTTTATTGATATTTTAATTTATAAAAAAAATTAAATATAAATAAAATAAAAAAATAACTGTATAATAATTATGGATTTTTATATAATTTATTAAATAATTATTTGTTTTTAAACTATTCAGTAGTAAAAAATTTAATAATTATTTTTATTTATTATATTATTTTATTTATAATTTCTATAAAGTATAAATTAATTGTAAAACTTATTAATCTGAAATTTAAATATATTATTTACTTTTTGCCAAAGTATAAAATTTTATTTATTTATCTCTTTGACTAAAAACTAATTCAATTTACAGTTTAATAGTGGGTATTTTTATTTATTTATTGTTTAATACACGATTTTAATGATCTAATAAGATTACTATTAATACTCTTTAATATCTCATTCTTTAATAAAAAAATTACATTTTTTTTTCTCCGTAACTAATAAGAATCACGGTTACACTAAATCTTAATCGACCTGCTTTCTATCTTTCCTTGCTACATAATCTCTACATATCCGTAATCATCGCCTAGTTTAATAGCTTCCGTTCAAGAATATTTTCTAAAGATGTTAATCTGTACCCTCATTTAAACATATGTTGTGTTAGAATTAAATGTTAATCTCGCCTAATAAAATAATCGTACTATTAAGAATCCTCGGTTTAATATGTCCCATTTTCACTAATATATATATATATATATATATTGAAATAAATCCTTAATTCCTTATATATATACAAGGTCCCATCTGTATTATAAAATTTAAAATTCTGGCTTATATATCTATATTCGGAATCAAATGCTTAGTTAGGTGTCAAGTCTTCGGAGTCTTCAGTCACGGAAATAATTACCAAAATTGATTATTTTTCGGGAAGGAATAATTTACCAAGTGCTAAATTTGCCATTCTATCCATAGATATGATTTTCGAGAGGCTGCTTATCCAGGAACGGATAAGTTTGTTTTCCGTGTTATTCTCAAGAAAGAGGTATCTGCATGATTGTTGAGATTTCTACCTTTTCAACGATCGATTTCTTTGACCTCTGCGATCTCATAAGAGCAAAATGTCTCAGATGTCACCCATACACTTGTTTGTAAGTCTAGATCTTTGGACTCATGATGGTCTTTCAAACTTATTATTAATCTATTTGAATAATTTCATCTGGGAGGCACAGCCGGATCGAGAAAGATAAAAGCGGTTAACATACAAAACTTCCTCATATATTGCGGGAAAATAATTAAATTTTTCCTGTAAACAATATCGCCATTATTATTACAAAAAATAGTAAAAAATTTAGTTCCAAAAATAGGCAAACTAACCTTAACCCATGATCATAATGTTTCTGCACACGATTGTTTTTTTTCGCTTACTCTCTAGTAGTACATCTGCATATGTCCTATCCTATTACTACGCTCAAACATTTTTGACATCATCACACAATGCTTGACAATCTACGAAATTTCTATTGAAGCATCTTTGGAAAATTCGGTAATTTATTCTCATCAAGACCATAGATTTTGAGATGATTAAAATGATAGACGACGCGCGATATTGAGATATTATACCATGGAGATAGTCAAATTCATCACATCCCTCTTGTTTGTTTCATATGACCTTCAAATTGTTTGACATTATGAACGAAACCTTGTGTTGTTTATCCCAGTGGTTCTAGCTTTCTAATAGCATGATTCAACAACGAAACGTACAGGAGGCGTTCAAAAGCGTACTTCGGCAATTTTGATTCTTTTCTTGTATTGCCCATGAAGAATTTTTACGACATTTACGCGTTGCTCTAAACTGTTTGGCTGCAATGTTTTGTAAGGCTGTAAGCCCTCAATCTTACAAAAATTCCCGTCTCCTCAATCTTACAACGAATAAATTCTTGAAATTCGTGGATTTGTTGGAGATAACAAATTACGTCCACAATTGATGAAAATCTTTCAGATTACCGATTTACCGGTTGGTGATACAATCTCATGAGTCATGATCAACACTTAAAAGCAGAAAACAGATGGAACTGAATTTTGTTTGCGGTACCACGTATATGTTTGTATCTGGTGAGAATTCCCAATGTCGACTCTCATTTTTATGTAAATTAAACTTGTTTGGACGTTTATACAATGATATTAACATCCGTTATAATTGTTTTTGTCGTTTCAGGCTCAATTCTTTTACTTACAGTATTATTAATCGTCTTTTATTCCAAGTGTGTGAAAGATTCAATTAATAAGTTAAGCAAGCAACAAAATGAAATTGCAGAAGTTAAAATAATCATAGAGGACCAAAATACCTCCGTACGTCAACAAAAGAGAATAGGAATCGATGAGAATAATCTAAATGAAGGTGATTAATATAATTACATGTTCTTTAAATAAAAAAGTACTTTGTACATTTATCATCTGATACTAAGTTCGAATATTATATTGTAAAGAGTTCAACAAGCTACGCCATGAACTTATTACAACCGTCTTTTATGAATCGAGATTCGCTGCACGAGGCAATGATCTAAATGAAAAATATGAGCATCAGCTATACATCATCGATCAACATGAGAAATTAACTGTTGCTGAGAAAGTTGAAACCAAACGCCGAATTACATTTGATAAGGATTTTCGGAACTTGCTTTTTCTTAAGGGCCCAAAATATAAATGTGCACTGTGTGGACGGTCTGGATATACAAATTATACATGCGAGCACTGTTCGCGTGATGTACTAAAATCCGAGTTTGTAAATTGGTCATCTGGGAATGAAGTAATTGATGAAGCCATCAGGAAATCTCAAATGATTCTTCCGTTACCTGGTTGGATACAGGAATGGATTCCATTTTCAGAACTCGAAAATATGAAATACAAGACCAGAGGTGGTTGTGCGACTATTTATACTGCGATCTGGACGAAAGGATATATGAAAGAATTTGACAACGAGAAGCGTACTTTTGGACGAAGTGGTCCTTATAAAGTCATCATGAAACGACTTGAGGGTTCAAGCATAGCTGATACGAAATATTTCAAAGAGGTTTTTATCAAGTGAAATCGAATTTTAATTTTATACTTGGTGCAGGTGCGACGCTAACCGACAGTATGATAATTAGTTGACGTTGCATCTTACCTTACGTGGACACGGATGTCAGGTGGTTCATTGTTGTGGTGTAACACGGGATCCTGAGAGCGATGACTTTATGTTAGTCATGGTGGAAATGGAGAGTGATCTGTATCACTATATTCAGGAAAATTTGTACTCGATTACAGCGAAAGAAGTTTATAATATTCTCCGATGTATCTGCTCAGCACTTGTCCAAATTCACGATAATAATTTAGTGCATCGTGATCTTCATTCTGGTAACGTGTTGCGCCGTTCTGATACAAAATGGTTCATTTCTGATTTGGGATTGTGCGGGCCAGCGGACAAGCCACCGACTAGCATCTATGGCAATCTACCATATATTGCCCCAGAGGTGTTGCGTCTTGATAGATTCACCCCGAAAGCTGACATTTACAGTTTGGGTATGTTAATGTACGAGATATTGACTGGTTTCCCACCTTTTCACGACCGAGTGCATGATTGCCACTTGGCAATTGATATCGTCAGCGGTATTCGACCGACAATTCCACCCGATCTTCCAGACACTTTAAAGTACTTAATGGAGCAGTGCTGGGATAACAACCCGGAAGCCCGGCCAACCTCTGCAAAACTTCACGAATATTTCAGTGAAAAGTACAAACTATCTTTTGATAATTGTGATTTTGATCCTAGTGTGGTGAGGCGCAATTTGAAACTAAAACCGTTATTAAAAAGTTCAGGTAGTAAACTTCATGACTTTGGTGATTTGCTTCGTAATTGCAATGTCACGAAAAGTAATATGGGGTCAAATCAACAATCATGTAAGTTCTTTTAAAAAAAGTTTTATTGTAATTTATATGCAGAAATATCTAAACTAATCAAGAATTATTTTGTCATTTAGCATATGAAACTATTCAAGATAAATTGGCCATATCCGTCGAAAGTGTAACATCTGATAGTTCTGTAGTATAAGCTCGATTAACTAATGCTATTAATTATTACGTCATGTTTCTTTTCTCCAAACTTGTCATTTAGAACTAAGATCTCATTAGAAAGTGCATTAATGTTATAACTTTATTATTGATTAAAGATTTATAATTTAATTTGTTTGTCAACAACTCATTACATTAATGTTTCATTTTATACATATTTAAAAAATCATTTGAAAAATAAAGAAAAGAAAATGGAGGAGCAATTTTAAAGGGTGGCAAAAATCTTGAGTGATTACCCATAAAATGGGAGTTCCATCCAATTACTCCATATATGCCTATCTATTACTTTCATTCATAATGACAAAATTATTTTTCATAACGCCACAGTAATCGATTTAGAGAATGAATATCCAGCTCAGATATCCAAAGTACAATTTTTTGTATAGTAGGACTAGGGATAGAGACCAGTTCATCGATTCTATTTCGGTTCTTCATCGGCTCACTTTGGCTCTCATAAAATAAAATGCATCAAGTTTAAACAAACGATGATGAATGAATTGAATGATGATCAATGATTTTGATTGGCTAATAATTTTGAAGACAACTCGTTTCAGAGCCGGTCCCTTGAAATCGGTCGTAAATCTTCTAAAATAATAGGCCTATTGCTGAAATAAATGTCAATCTCAATTTATGGACATTATTCTAGTACGATAAATATTTATTTCGTAACAACAATGACAAAAAGGATTTATTACAAATTAGCAATGATAGTTATAAGTACCGCCGTTATAACGACATCTCATTATAACGACATATTATTGTATGACGACATACCATTTTTTGGATGTCGTTATATAAAAATCTCATGGCCCGAAAGTGTCGTTATAACAGACGGCACTTGTATTAACTTACAAAAACTCCGTTAATTGAAACATTGGACTAATACATCATATAATTTTTAATGAAAACTCATTAGATCGATACAATCACAGTCAATGTAAAGTGTTTAATCATCTATATCATGTTCAGATTTAAGTACTAGTTAATATATATATTATTTTATGAAATCTTAATTATTATTATCAAGAATTGGAGTTTAAATTAAAATCTAAAAACAAGTAATTATTTATTCTAATATATTAGATCCTTTTTTCTAGTGAATTTTCTCTTGCAAAATTATTAATTAAAAACATCCCTAAAATATTTGATGGTATAAATGGTTTATTTTTCCTTAACATCCTCCAAGGCAAAATTAGTGTCAATAGCACTATCGTCAACATCATCAACATCACAATCAACACCGGTAGGAAAATCTTTGTGAACGTTAATCTTACCTTGAATTTGTACTGTAACACTACCATCAATCCATTTAGGTTCTTTAATGTCCTTAGCAAATTCGCTTAATTCATTTAAAATTTTGTCTAAAATAGTTTTATCTTTATTAGCTTGATTATACCGATCTTTTTTAGTTTTATCACTAATAACCACCTGAAGTTGATATCCTTTCTCCAACCATTCTTTTGATCTAGATAATTTGTGTGTAAGATCATTTGGTGACACTTTCCACGTTAATTTTAATTCTTTTTTCAATATATGGGGAGTAGTTTGTTGTTTTTGTTTACTTTTTTTATATAATTCTTGTTTAGAAACTAATTTACATATTGGTATTTCTTTTTGTTCTTGATGACGACGTTCTTGGGAAAGCTGTTGTAAAGGATTTTTTGACGATAAAGCAGCGTTATCTGGTGAAACTTGAACTAACCAATATTTTTTTCTATCAAAGGATGATAAAATTTTTTTTAATGGGTACGTCCCTTGTAATTGACCCTCTAAATTAACATATTTGATATATTGTGATTTAATTTCTTCATCACGAGGTTTACGATTTTGTTGTGGTCTTTGTTGATTTGAAGATTTATTATTATTATATGGTGATAAAGTAAAATTAAAATTAGAAATTTTTGTTGATGATAATAGACGAAAATTCGTTATAGAATTTTGATTAAAAAATATTTTTTTTCGCTGTTTAAAGTATATAGGATAAATACAATTAAATATTTTTTGTTTCTTTATCATAATTATTTTTACAAAAGAAAAATATTTTTTTTTTTTTTTTTTATGAAAATCATGTTACACGAAGTTGATGTAACTGGAAATTTCCGGGTCCTGTGAAGTTGTACTGAATACGTCCAGGTGACCCGGTCGGTATACGTCATATTCATCACGAAGAACCTGATTTTAATTATGGATAATGTTACGATAAACTTTGATATAACGCAATCATTTATGTAGTTTTAAATTATTGTACATATCAGATATATATAAATATAAATAACTAAAATATAATTAGAAATCTTTTTTTTTTTTTTGTTCTTGTTTCTTGTTTTAGATTTTTACCGCCATTATCAACATAATCAATCACGACAATATCAATGTTTTGAGTTTTTTGTATTTAAAACAGCTCATAAACGTTCTATTATTGTACAATCATAATTATTACGCTTAAATTTACTTTTGTTTTTTGTTCACTAATAAGGCAAAATTAAAAAAAACAAAAGAAAAAGTAGTTGTTCTTTGTGTTTTGCCGAATCTAACCTATATATGTACGAATTAATAACTTGAATGAATCATTACTCCGGTCGTATGATTTAATTATGCATTATAAAAACAAACAGAATTCTATAATAATTGTTTCGGAGTACGGATGTTATTTCATTTTCACCGAATTACCCGGAGAAACTTTCACGACTGTCATTGAATTTCCATTTTTATATTCATATATCCATTTTGGTTCCCAAAAACATATTGATTTCCAGTTACACGTAGAAGTTCTTAAATATTGAGTTCACCTAAGAAGTTTCCGATGCTTCAATTTAATTTCCAAATTGAGAAACAATTACGATTCTTAGTTGACCATTTTAGGTTTTATTTGAAAAAATATAAATAAGCTAAAAGTGAATATGAAGATTTTAACATTTTCACTTACTTCAACATGAGTTATCTAGTTATTATTGCAGTGGTTGTTATCCTTTGCTATCTTTTTAAACAAAAAAAGTTATTCGCGAATCCTTCTAAACGTATCTTAATTAGTGACGTTCAAAAGGCTAAAGATATTCTTAATTCCAGTAGTCTTGACTCTCGAGTAAAATCAAATCAGAATTTGGGTCTTACCTTTGGGATTTCAAATCCTTTTACAAATTCGGATAGACCATATCACCAAGACTTCCGTAAAATTATTGTTAAATCGATTGATTTAAATGATGGAGGATGGAATAGGATTAAAAATATTACTCTTAAAGCTGTAAACGATTACTCTAATTTAGATAAGGGTGGTATTGTTGAAATCGTTCCCTGGATTCAACAAATAACGTTAAATGTTGTACTATGTGGTTATTTAGGGATGGATGTAAACGTTGATAAAGTTATTAATATTGCTCCGGGTATAATCAACGACCTTTGGCTCAAATCCAAAGAACTCAATCATACAAAGGAAAATATTGAAAAAATAATGAAAACCAAAAGCAAGCTCAAAAATCTTTTCCGTAGTGTAGCATCCGAAGCTAGTGAAACTCCCAACGTGATTAAGAAAATTTCAGAAATTGCTAGAAAGCATTTTCCAAACGTATTTTGTTCAGAAGCTACAAATAATTCTTTAGCTGATGACTTAGAATCACCTCTGAATGTTTTAATTCCCGCGTATGAAACAATGTGGAGAGTTGTCCTATACTCCATTTTGGAGATTAAAGTACGCCCCTCATTGAAAAAAGATTATGACAACAAAGAACTCAACTTTAAAGAAATTGATGACGCAGTCAAAACTTTTCTAAAGAAACCGAACCACTCTACACTTAAGAATGATTCTTCTATACTATGGTGTATTATTCAGGAAACCTTGCGATTATATCCTCCAACACGACATATTCATAGAGTCGACGAAAAAAATAATACTGTTACCATTGATGTGGAAAAAATTCATCGTGATCCTGAAAATTGGGGAGAAGATGCGACTTTTTTTAAACCTAAGCGGTTCTTCAATAAAATGAATAAGGCATATATACCATTTTCATATGGTAAATTAAAATGTGTAGCTGCCGATAAATTTGCTCCAACATTGGCTGCCATCCTTATATCAGCTATTTTAGATCGTGTGGACGATATCATTCTTGGACAGAAGACAAAAGAATCGTTATTTCTAAAAGCGAATCTTCCTTTTGAAAATAACCGGCGTGCATTTGATAAATTCGAAGTTACTTTAACAAGGAAATCCTGAAGGACGAAAAAGTCTTATATAAGACTTCAGAAATCAATGCACTGTATTATTGTATGAGGTATACTTAATAGTAGGCCGCGCCAATTTAAGTATATTAATTATATTATCGGTTACTTTTTTAATTTTTATAAACAATTTGTAAATATATATATATATATATATTTCATTATAGAGAACATTAATTATCATAGCAATTTATTTATTGTATAATACATTAAGTTATTAATTGCATAAAATAAAATAGTATATACTATATGTTATATAACATTTATCGGCCATAAGTTACAGTATTCACTCACTTTATTTTTTTATGTCAAATGATAGATCATGATGAGTTGACATTTCTATCGCAAAGTAGAATTTTAGTAAAAATAGGATTTTAAAGGACGCGTCTATTGATGGATGGAATAATACTGGTGAATTACATTAATTTGTATCATGCTTAGCGGAAAAAATTTTTACTTTAGCAAAATCAAATTTATTTAACTTTAAATAAAATAATTATCTCAAGTGACAATTGATAATAGTGATTTTATGATTTACAGTATTATTTTTATCTTTTAATTCCGCCTTTCGAATTTAAGTTGGTTTCCCAAATAAAATTTATTTAACTACTCTTTGATTTATTGCTTTATATCCAATATTCAAAATAAATTCTTTAATAAAATCTCTACCGAAATTTTTATAATTCTACTAATTAATATTGTGCTTAATATTGAAATGTATTTAAGATCATTTTATACCTGGTCAACCATATATTGAATTCAAAACTTCCCTTTACAGCAAAATTCGAAATATAGTGGACACTTGAAAATTTTTATTGTTGGGATTGTCGGGTACTCATATATATATGTCACGTTTATATATCTTTTCTAATATAACCTGACTAGCCGAGTAACCCGAGTAGACGAGTACCGACAATCCCGACAATAAAAAATTAAAAATCATATGATTTGAATATTGGCATCATGTGAATTTCAATTTGTAGGATAATCTTATTAACTAAAATATTTCTTGATTTAGCGTAAAGCATTTTTGTCGTGAAGTCATGTTTCGTTATAAATAATAATTTTTTAATCAATCTCTGCAACAAGCTTATTTCTCATACTGTAATTAAAGCAGAGTCTAGTATAAAGTTCCATTTGCTGGTATAAATGTACCATTTTCCGGTTTTGAACGCTCATTTCCCAAACTGGATCATTTTCTGAAACTCCAATTTCCAGAATCCCAATTTTCAATATCCAGACTATACTTTTTTTAGTTTATTATATAATATATGTATTTATATGACGTCAAGAATTTTATCAAAGTTATTAAATAATAATTCAGTAATTATTGCGTAGTAGGTCAGGTGATTTTTTTTTATGGTTCATATATTGCATTAATCGTATATATACTGTATATATTTTGTTAATTAATGTGATTTTATTTTAAATTTTGTAATCAAATGATCTCAATCATTTTTATGCACTGTATGACCAAGTCAAAATGAAATGTGTTAAAAAGACATCTTTTATTAATCTAGTAAAAATGTCCATATTAATATTAGTGAAATTGAAGTTTCGGGAGATGATCCAGTTCAGGAAAATGAGCAATCGGAAAAATGACTTCGGGAAATGATCGGGAAATCATAACCGTTTATCTTGCTTGGCGCAACTATCACGTAAATTTTTTTATAATTTATATTACGCGAACGCGTAATTTACCAATCATTTAACATGCTATTGTTATATGGGTTATGGGTTACGATAACTTATTAAAAATTGAGTAATTCTTTTATGTAATTCTTTTTTTTCGGAGACTAAATATCTCAAAGTTAATCAATCACTCACGCTATATATGGTTTTATTTACTCATTGTGCTTATGTAAGATTAGCGCGTTCAAAATTCAATGTATCAAGCAACGATATACTAAAGTAAATGTTTTTATATTTGATCTTCCATGCTTTAGAAGGCATCAAATCGGAAGTGAAAGCATATAACGTAGTTTAGTACCTTCTGATGTATCTGATGTAATACCAAGATATTGAAGCGGAACTAACATTCAAGATTTGGATAATGGTATAAAGAATAAGGCGGATTTATGGTGTGGATGAAATATGTGATGGAAATATTACGAAATATTACGATTACAATTAAGGAAAAAGAATTTTCATCGATATCTTTCGTTCCACTAGTCCGATTTTTCAATATGGCTAGTATACGACTTATTTTGCCGTTATTTTATTATAATAAATAGTAAAAGAGAAGTGAAGACATGGGTAAGTCTATCATGATTATTTGAGGGACTTGTTATATAGGTCGATAGAAAGGATACGTCCATTCCAAGGATCAGTGGTTTGAACGAGTGAAGAGTCCATAAGGTTACCCACTCCGCAGAAACATGCGAAGTGGGATGGGCAGTTATCATTTTAAAATAGAATATTAGACAATTTAAAATGTGATTGGATTGACCTACCTTACCCATTAGCATGTTACAAAATGTCAAAACCTTGGTACAAGCATTGAACTAGTATAATCATGATCATCTTAAACTTGGCCGTTAATTATTAGTATAATGAATTTATTTTAGCAATGCTTATCAGTTATGCTTCAATGGGTAAAATATTGGTAATAAATTTGGTTAGCCTCGTGTCACCAAATCTGATTGTTATTGGTATGGTATAGATTACTTTCCAAATTCGTTCAATTTTCTTTGCTTATCAAAATAATTAGTAATTAAGCGATCATATAGTAGTAAGAAAATAACGCTTAGGTTCATTTAAATAGTTACATATATGGCAAAAAATAAAATATTATATTCTTTACGGTGATCTTTTTTCATGATATTTAAATCCTTCATCATCGAAATCATTTATTTTATTTTTCTATGTTCTATTAATTTACATATAATACTAAAATTCCTTTCATCATTACCTTCTCCCTTTCCTTTCTACCATTTTGGAAGAAAAAATAATGTCAAGGAAAGGAGAAGAAAATGAAGGGGATATAAGGGCTCGAGGAATAATCATAGATCCTTTCATTCCAGTTCCTTCCGTACCTTCTCATTCTCCAGAAATTCCTGATCCATCTTTGCCTATACCTTCTGTTATTCCGACGTCTGCTAGTCCTTTTATTACAACAGCTCCTTTTATTGCTCCCTCTCCAATAACATTAACTGAAATAGTTACAATAACTGAACATAATAAGAATTTACCAGCTCTTTCAACAGTTACACCTAGAAGGGCTGCGACACAAACCTCAACTATAACTAAAAACACCCAGAGAAATACTAGTACTATTAATATTGCCGCAATTATATTAGGCATCATGATTGGCTTTGTTATCGTTGGTGGTAGTATAGTAATATTGATACAAAGGAAATTTTCAAAAAATAAAAAAGATAAGAAAAATCAATCTCAACGTCCTTCAATAGATGAAAATGTACATAATGAGGTTCCTGCCATAGAATTATCGGAAAGAATTCCAGATGATAATCATCAAAGAGGTTCATTAATATATTTTCGCCCTCAATTTCCTCTTCCTCCACCTCGGCATCCTCCACCTCAAAGTCCTTTACCTCAACATCCTCCACAAAGTCCTTCAACAGCTTTATATATGTCGTCTTCGACATATAATACAAGACATTATTCATATGAACCTCCACTTTCAGAACATTCTGCAGCAATTCCAAATTATTATCAAAAATATTCGCACTTACCACTTCCGACCGACACTGACGTCATCTCTCCGGATAGTGAGGAGAGTCAGAATAAATAACATAAAATATTAATAGATAGTAGTTACCCATTTCAGCAAAAATATGTCGATATTGGGAATAAACTTAGAATAAATAAATAGATGAATAAAATATATTAATTTTCCTTAATAAATTTCGTACCTTCTATTTATACCGTATACATGATATATATATTTTTTAAAATATAAGAATTATTTTAACTTTATCTCTTTACCTTTACTGCAGTGTGTCGTTCGCACCTTGATCCGAATATATTATGCACTTTCATTTGTCTTGTTTATTCTCATAAAACTTTAGAATCGATCGTTTTATGATTACAGCAAATCTCTCGGGAATTGAGATCACAGATTTTTATGGTAGCTATAAAAATGAAATGCTTAACAGTAATCACCGATTAATGCACTGTACAAAAAAAAAAGTAAGATTCATGCGGAAAACATGAAAACAATCCACAATTGGTTTTAGAATACTTTTTTTCATTCGCAGATTTGAAAAAAAATTAAATCATCCTTTGACGTGAATTTAAAATTGATACGTTTATTGAGATAATATACTAAACAAGAAAATTTTCTTAGTCCGGACTCCAGAGCGTAGTCCGTTCAGTCACGTGATAATTTTGCACGTGATTGGTCGGACTTGTTGTAAATTAGTAGTATTCAACAAGTCATCCGAAACCGGGTAGATACGTTATGAATCAATGGCCATTGAGTTATTCATATTTATCCGATAATCTTAATTTGATGAAAATATCATACTAAGTCATTTTATTCAATAAAGATGTCAATTTAACTAGGCATATTAAAATATTAAACATAATTCTAACGAAAAGTGGGATCGTTTATTTTGAAGATATTGATCATATAAAAAGAAGATTAACTATAAGATGTCTTTAGGTTACGTACAATATACTGTATTCACATCGGAAAATAAAATTATTTTATTATTAAAACATTACTTGATAATAAGAAAACTATTCGATAATACAAATAAACTCTTTTATTGCCAAAAATTTCTCAATTTCCATAAGGATATAGCAAATTGTTTAGTATGCGGCATACATATTATACCAATCATATTTTGGTTTTCTTTCAATTGAGCATATTCTTTGATTTTTCTAATTCCTTCATCACCCCAGATAGTTTTAACATAATAAAATGGAATATGTTGAGTTACATAGTTATTATTGTAAGTTACTTTTCTCAATGAACAAATATGATTTGAAGGTATTTTTAAGGGTATATAAGAATCCTCTGATTTCTTTAATTTCGTTGATTTTATATTATAATATTCATTTTCACTCTTATCCGATTCTTCTTCAATCGTCTTATCCGAAGGGTCATCAAGCACCAATACACATTGTAAACCTCTAATGGATTTATGATAATCTACATAATAATGATCTGAATCTTTGATAATGGGTAAAAAAGCTTCCTCTTTTTTCATAGGAAATTTAATTGTACCCAACTTTTCATTAATCCTATCAATTCTTAATATAGAATCTTCAACAAGTAAATTCCAAACATGTTCATGCATATCTTCTCTCCAATATGCTCTATTATCAATTGATTTATATTTACCTATTTTCAAAAAAAATAAATAAATAAATAAATAAATACATTAAATAAATAAATTAATAAATCAAGAATCAAATTTCTTTTTTGAAAAATTTCTTGATATAATTACCTTCCATAAAAAAATCCTGTAATATTTTAGCATTACATCTTATCCAATAACCTTTACCAGGTCTTTTTGAACCACCTTCTTCCCTAAAATCTGGTACGATCCATACTGAAGATGTTTCACTATCATAAGCTCTTATGAACCTTACCAAGAAATCTATAAATTAAATGAAAGTTTAAAATCTAATGTATTTAACGATTTTGGAATGAAATTATAACTATTATAATGATACATACCTTGAGGAAACCATCTTTGATGATAAATACATTGACGAATTGGTGATCCAATTATTGAAGCTTATATTTAGATAAAAAGAAAAATATATATATAAATATTTTAAATAGATAAATGAATGAATATATGAGAAAAAATTATAAAAATTTTAAATTTATTCTTACCATAAGGATTAGAAAAAACATATTTTTCCAAGCTTGTTAGCTTTTTGAAATCAACTCCTCTTGGTGCTGGAGCTCTTTTATATTTTGGTAATTCCGCATAAGGTCCTTGAGGATCAAGTAAAATTGATAGAGTTTCTTCTTCTACTTCTTTAGGATCAAATTTTAATTTAAACTTAGTATGTTTATAAATTTCATTAGGAGTATCTATTGAAAAAGTTGTAAATTTAGAAATATTTACTAGATTATTTTGATATTTTTTTAAAAGTAAAGATGGATAATTATTGCATTTTGTAAAAGTAGAAGCTAGAAAAATTGAACGATGGAATGTATGCATACTATCAATTAAGCGTGGCAACGTAGATTTTTTTTAAAAAAAAAAGATGTGATTGTAAAAACACGTGACATTTTGACATTACTCAATGTAGATCTCTAAAAATATCGTATTTACATTAAACAAGATCTCTATTCTAATAATGGAAAATATTTACGACGTATATTTCCAAATAAAAATCTTTACAAACAATTCAAATGTTACGACAAATATTATATTCTGGAAATCGTAAACTCATAAATCTATACTCTTAAGAATATTTAAAAGTACGTTATAACAAAAGTTGAAAAGCTTTTTTTTTTTGTCATTCGGCATTATATAAATCGGTAATAAATAGATCAACCATAATCTCTTCTTTTCGTTATTTCGTATGAATACGTGTAAATAGACATCTATTTTTCCTTATAGCTCGAACATATACTTTCAAATATCTACCATAGTGAGAAAAGAATAAAAAACGGTAATAATAATTATTCATTTTTATTCTTTTAACCTTCAAGATATATTTATTTTGTTTGCAAAAACAATTTCTCATGCAACTAATCAAAACAATCATGTTCATAACATTGTTCTAATTAATCTGGTTGCAGCTCCAACAAGATATGGAACTTTTCTATCAATTTGCTGAAAAGTTTCCTTCGTTACTTCTTCAGTATACTTAGACATATTCTCCAATTCCTATGGATGCATTAAATTATTAGCAATATCATAAAACTGTCTTATCAACAAATCAAGGTTAAAAACTAATAATTACATCATGTATTGTCTTTCTCAATTGTGTATTTTCTGTTATCAAGATTGCCTGTGCTTCAAGATCTCTTTCAGTTGATCGATATCCATAATTGGAGGATCCAATTATGGTCAGACTTGGCCACGATTCTCCATCAAGATAACACCACAAGCCTGGTTCAAGATAATTATAAGAATGGCGTAATGAATAAATCAAAAAAAAGAGTAGTTAATAACACACCTTTCGCATGAAAAGTCCATCCTGGCCTCTTGTATTCTTGTATTTTAATTAAATGTTCTTTTCCATAATGGCAAATATCCGAATAAAATTGTTTTTCTAAAAATGTATAAGCTTGTGGAATATATTTTGAGATACCTTTAGATTTATAAAATCCATTTGCCTTGAAAATTATAATCAAGTTAAAATCATAATATGAATGAATTATAAATATATATATATTATAATTTTGATGTTCCCATACAAAGTACCTCTGGTGAAGCGGCCAATAATTGAAATTTTGCTCTAGCATTCAGAACCCTTTCTTTATAACTTTGAGTAAAATTAAAATATCCAGATGTAAAAAATACTCTGCAAAACTTATTTTCATTAACATTAATTTTATTTCCATGCATTGAAATTGCGTCCAAAACAATAAATGTTGCAAGCTCATCTTGTCTAATGTATAAAGGATTCATTTGTATAATCGGAAAGACAATCGTATCATACTTCTGTAAAGATAAATTATGATCTTGTTCAATGCTATGTATTATCCATCTCTTAATAAAATTATTCATGATGAGAGAAGAATTTTCCCTAAATAAAGTACTTTGTGTTACAGGATCTGGATAATTCTTTAAAACCAACTTAAAAGAATCCTCATCTACAAGTTTAGTTGGGCTCAATCTATATGAAAAAGACGCTACCGTTTCTACAAGATCTGCAAAATAATTTGTCAAAGATGGTGTGTTTTCAAATAACATATATCTATCTTGTCTGTTGGTAAAATAATCATGATTCAAATTGGCGCTAAAAGCATTTAACAAAACTTTGATTAACGTGTGTTAAGAAAAAAAATAAAATAAAGTATTTACACTTACCCACTTAATAATAGATTGTTGTCAAAAATAAAAGATTTAATATGCATCAATCCGATCCCCTCATTGAATCTAGGAGGAATAAATTTTTTCAAAATCCCCGTCAAATCTGGGGTATGATACAAAGATACTGTTACTTGATCTGGAAACTCTTTTACAAGTGGTAAGAGAAGGTATGCAGGACTTTTATCTGAAGGTGTTTGACCAGTACGTGTAGACCGCAAACAATCAAGCAATATATGAACTTTCAATTGCTTGGTTTTCTTTATTGCTATTCTCAGTGTATTAACCTATTAATAAACAAATAATTGTCAAATAATCTAAAAAAGCGAAAAATTTACTATGGTTAAAAATATAACAACAACAACCAAATTACATTATTTTACCAAATCCTTTTCACTATAGCCAATGTACAATGCAGCTATAAAAATTCGCTCTTTAGCAACAAGTATTTGGGACTATAAAGAAAACAATTAAATTAGAAAACATTTGTAAATTAAAAAATTGTGCATAATTGATTACCTTTAGTTCTTCATATAACTCCTTTGGCTCTTGAAGAAGCCTTATTTGTTCTCCATTAAGCAAAAAATATGGAGATATCTTTAATAAATCTTTAAAATTATTATATGGTGGCTTTTCTATATATTCGTTAATAAAAGAACTATAATTAGAAATTAAAACATGTTGAGGTTTCAATTTGTGTTTTTGTTTATTTTGATTATAAGAATGGGTTGTGCTTGAAACAAAACGAGTAAAAATACGTTTACTTCTAAATAATGATAAAAGTTTATCAGAAGAACGTATATTATTTATTGAAAAATATTGAGAAAAGTTATTTAAATTTCTTTTCTGCGAAAATTTCAAAATTAATTCTGATATCGTAGATATCTTCATCGTAAAAAAAAAATGATTTCGTCAAGGGATAGGGATGCGTAATTTGCCTACGATAGTGATTACGAAAAAAAATTTTCTGATATTACGCGTTATATAGATTTATAACGTCAAAATGAATTACGCAATTTTGTCAATCAGATCGACGGTTTTTTTTTTTATAAATACGGCAAAAAATTTCACGATCATCGAAATTTAATCAATTACATACTGTTAATTAATATATTAAAAAACTACTGCTTATTTTCTTATTTTCCTTATACGTAAGAGATAGAATGGCAGAAAAAGAAATAGGTTAGATTTTTTTCCGAAAAAGTAATTGATTCAATTTTAAAATTAATAAAAAATTTATTAATATAATTTCAGAATTACTCGAAAATGTGGAGCTTCGATTTGCTCTTGCAGAAACTGATCAGCAATTAGAAAAGACTCTTAATATTTTTTTAAGCCCTGTTCTTTTAAAGCTGGAAAGTCCACACGAAGTTGTGAAAACAAAGGTTAGAGAAATTTTTTAATTGAGTTATTAGAAAGAAATACTCAATATCTTTCTTTGATTAGGTAATGAGCATCTTAGCTCACATTAACAAACGTGTTCGGCCTAAAACAAACATCAAACTTCCATTAGTCCCTCTTTTGGATCTTGTTTGTACAGAAAAGGTTACTAAATCAATATTTGTTAAGAATTTCGGTATTATGTACCTTGAAATGGCTTATGATAGATTAACGGAAGAGGTAAGGAGGTAATATCGGTAACTCGCTCTTCTTTCATCGTATGAATGAGTACAATTCTTGGATGGAAATATTTTTGTTGCTTCAAAGATTCTATTATATTTTGCATAGGAACAAATCACAAACCTACCAAGTTTGATTAGAGGCATTGCTTCAAAGCCTCTTAACCAAAAGCAAACATTAATGCATATTATACTTTTGGTAATTAAAAGAATATGTTAAACTGTCTTTTTTTTTAATTAAAAAAAAGGTATTTACGTTTTTATTCGGTTATTGATAGGTATTGCAAAAGTATAAACCAAAAGAGACGGAGTCGCCTTCTGATCTTGACCCGATTAATTTTACGTCACATCCTGATGATGCTAAATTTTTGCTAGAATCATTCTTAGATGTTATTCTATATACACCTATTCAGCCTAGGCAACAAAATCAGCGACCTGCCACTGGGTAAGACAATCAATCTTAAAGCTACGTGTTTATATCATGTGATTCGCTCATAAAATAAACTATCATATAGACAACTAGAAGATTCTCAAAACCCCCAACCTGTTCAATTACCATCTGTTCCACCAGGACTTAGTGCAAATGCCGTTAAGTTTGTAACTAATGATGGAAAAGCACAATGGGCTTCTAAAAATTCGGAGTTAATATCAATTAAGGTCAGTCTTAACTTTCTGTTTGTAATATAAAAAATGTATATTTTATTAATAATTCTTTCATGAAATAGATGGGAATTCTTCGATTTGTTAATTCTTCTGTAATATTACCAGACTCGCTACCCGATAGTATACATTTTAAGAAATTCTTAATATTATTGGCTGCATCATGTGATTCTTCTCATGAAATTGTTGGTGGTGGTGAAAATGGCCTTAAGAGAATGAAGAAACCAGATATGGAAGATAAAATGGTATTTAAAGATATCTTTCAGTTAATTATTAAGGATTATATCGTAGTTAAATTATGTAATATTTAATCAAATTTCAGGTTGTGGATGGATTATACTATTTATATCAAGGTAGTAATCCTGGGTCTGTTGCAAAACAAGGTATATTATGCTTCATTTATTTTTAAGGGAATGAATATTAGTGGTTTCAGATGAGTCATTAAATTGATTTGTTAGGTCAACAAGAGACATTGCGTCATCCGGCTTCTCAATCTCTTAGATATAAGATTATGGGTTATCTCTGTAAATCCAGATTAGCAGCCAACACGTTCCCTGCTATGATTCAAGTTTCTTTTGACTGTCTTTATGGTAAGAAAAATAAACAATCTTCTTATTTAATTATAAATATATATTAGTAAAATATTTATCATTTCTTTATGATCGTTAAGGTCCCACAACAAATACAAAATTGCAAAATCAAGGAATGTGGTTTGTTCAATGGATAGCAAGAATGGTAATATTAAAAGAACGAGTTCTTATTAAAAAAAAAAATTAAATACTAAAAACATTAAAATTATTTTTAGGGTGATTCCTCGCGATTAAAACCCGTTGCTCCAGTTTTATTATCTGGACTATTAAAGTTTATTAATGAACATGGTATATATCGTATAATTACTATATTAATTATGGATCGAACGATTTTCTAATTTTAATGTTTACGTTAGATAAAGAAAGCTTAAAACTAGATAAAGAGGATTTGAGAGGATTTGCTTATGTGGCAGTTAGTTTGCTGGCAAGACGAGGTATTTATAATTTCTCGACTTTGTGAAAATTTTTCATATTTAACGTTTTTAATAATAAGAACTTATGACAACAGTTCCAGAGATTTTCCGTAAAGATTTATCTGTACTTGCGAACTTCTTTACAGCTGTCACAATGGAAACGAAAAATGTTAAAGTATCTGTTCAAGAGGCTTTATCTAATATGGTGGAGGCATATCAAGATGTTGAAACTTGGGCTAATGAAGATGTTATCAGAACTATTGAAAATATTCTGGAGGAGAATATAGATAAGGTATTAAAAGTCTAATTTATCGTATTTCAGTTTATCCTGATTAACTAATCGTTTATTTACTATAATAAGCCAGGACACCAAGCACGTTTTTGTGCTGTTAAATATGCAGTATCATTGTTTCCATTTTCTCACGTTCTCTCTCGATATATTTGTCTTCTTGCCTCAGCTGATGAAAAGTTAGAAGTTAGAGAGATGGCATCCCGTGGTTTAGCATTTCCTAATTCAAGAGCTCCTAAACTTTATCCAAATCAGCCGGATGATGAAATTAAAATTCCTTCATTTTTGGAATTTGTTAATTTTATTAATAATAAATCGATTCAACGAACAGAGAAAGTCGAACAGCTCAATTATGATCAATCTAAATCTAAATTTAATTTAGCCATACCTTCAACTATGGTTCTAGATGCATCATCTTTTGCACAATTTAATCATACTTTACAATCTGGCCAATCTACTGGAAAAAAGTATGTTTCGGGATATCGTACAGAAGTTTATATTAATATCTTGCGATTTCTTAGAAATTTAATGATTGTAAATGCAGATCCAACTGTGTTAGTTGATGAATTAATTGATGAACTTGATGGTGAAAATAAACTATTTGATTCCAATGTACGTGCACGAGTTAAAAGTTGGATAAAAGAGCAATGGAAGGCTGATCAGGAAATGACGGATCAGATGGAATTGGACGAACCTCAACATAGTGGAGCACTTAATGTATATCTTGGGCTGATTGAGAAAGGGTTAACAAACAAAGGCCAAATAGGTGAGCAAATGCATGTCTTATGATATTCTATTGTCATTGCTATTTTACTTGATATTAACATTCTCTTAAAATAAAAGACGCATCATTGCAATCTACTGCATCATCGTGTCTTTTGGAACTAATATCTCTTGGACCATCTTCTCTTTCTCGATCTTATGAAAATCGAATTAGCTGGATAAAGGTCAGTCTCTATATATAAATTTATTTTACTGATACAAATTTCATATATTAACACGTTTTATTTTACAGACCTTTTTGAGTATAACAAAGCTTGAAGTACGTAATTCCATGGCCCACGTCCTTGGTATAGTGAGCACAAGTGAGTTAGAAAATAGTCCCGAGAGGTGCACAATCATTCAAGATTTAATAAAGGAATTCATGACGATTGCAAAAGATCGTTCTCGACAGGTTTGGAATTTATTATTTTTTTTTTAACTGAATTTGTTTTGAAATTTAATAAAATATTTAATTTTAAATTTTAAATAGACATCCGATTATCATCACGGAAGTATCCTTGCTTTGGGATATATAATTGGTCGAATGACTTATCGATATCCTACAACGTTTAAATCTATGGTATCACCAGATCTTATAATAGAAGTAATTGAACTGATTGCTTCAGATTTAGATTCATCCACAAGTTTGCGTGTTATTGGCGCATCTAAATCTTTGAGTGAGGCTTGTAGATACACTTTATTATCAGTTTTCTCAGATATCAACGATAAAGGAAAAGACAAGATCGGTGAAAATTCATCTGGTGCAGATTTTCTCACAAATATTGTGGAGAAATTAATTAATATTGTTAAGACCACTAAAGATGTTAAGGTATGTTTATAATTGTTTATAAAATTTGAAAAATGTTTATATTTGATTAAAATAATTTAATTATGGTAGAGACAAGAAACATCTATTACTGCACTTGGTCATATTGCACTTGGAGAATCTACATATTCAGAAAAGGTTTTATCATTATTCTATGACCTAGCAACAACTATTAATAAACAAGTAGAGGTTCATTTTACGATTGGCGCGTCAATCACTTGTATAACTGCGGGATGGGAGAGTAATGAAATGGATCTATATTTGGATATTGCTGATGTTCCACCTCCATCTATGACGATTGACAATGCTGTGATGGAAGGAGTTTTAAACAAGATATTTAATGATTTGTTGCCTTCAAACAAGACAGCAGCGAAAAAAGCTGTTTGTGTTTGGATGTTGTGTTTAGTAAAATTCTGTTCTAAACATGAAATGGTTAAGGTAATGTGAAAGCAATATATTAGATTTATTATTGTTCTTGCAAAGGTTCAAACATTTATACATACACTTTATTTTTAGGCTACATTGCCTAGAATACATGGAGCATTTTCTCTTCTTTTGGCGGATCGCGACGGTATTTATTTTTTATCTTTTCCTTTAATTTACATTTAACAAGTAAATGAAGGCCTTATCTTCTTTTTTTTTAAAGAATTTACTCAGGAAGTTGCTTCCAAGGGTATTGGTCTTGTTTATGAATTAGGAGACCAAAAGATGAAAGAACGGCTTGTCGATTCTCTTGTCGAAATGTTTAGTGAGGGAAAACGTCCAAAGGAAACAATAGATCGAGATACCCAATTGTTTGATTCAAGTACACTTGGTCAAACTCCTGATGGATCAGCCATTTCAACTTATCAGTCTATTCTTTCGTTGGCTTCTGATATGAACCAGCCGGAGTTAGTTTACAAATTCATGCAACTAGCTAGTCATAATGCTATGTGGCAATCACGTAAGGGAGCGGCATTTGGATTCTCATCTATTCTTGCTCAAGCAGAGAAGGAGTTGGAACCATATTTGAAAGATTTAATACCTAGGTTATATAGATTTCAATATGACCCTAACCCTAGAGTAAATGAAGCTATGACAAGTATTTGGAGAACTTTGGTGAAAGATCCAAAGAACGCTATTGATGAATATTTTGATGTAATTGTTAAAGATTTACTCAAAGGGCTTGGTGATAGATTATGGAGAACTAGAGAATCTAGGTGCGTTTTGGTTTAATTTGTTTATGATTTCTTTTCAAAATCATTTGCCTAAAACATTATTTTTTTTGCAGTGCCAATGCTTTGACGGATTTATTACAAGGAAGACAAATTCAACAACTTGAACCATATTTACAGGATCTATGGAATATGAGTTTTAGAGCCTTGGATGATATCAAAGTTTGTATATTTTGTTATTTTTTTTTTTTAATTTGATATTCATTTAACATTTTAACATTTATTCTAGGAAAGTGTACGAATAGCAGCATTTAAAACTTGTCGCACATTGACAAAAATTACGGTGAAATACTGTGATCCTGCTAATGTGTCTGTTGGAAATGGGCAAAAAGTTATGAATATTATAATGCCTTTCCTATTATCGAAAGGACTAGTATCAGATGCCGAAGATGTTCGCAAATTTTCTTTGACAACGATTCTTAAAATTTGCGAAACCGCTAAAGAATTATTGAAACCGCATATTACAGAAATTGTTGATAAGTTATTGGAAAGTTTGTCCAGCATGGAACCTCAAGTCATGAGTATATAATTATTGCAAGTTTTTCTTATTATTATATAATTAGATTTATACTAAGTGAATTGTACTTGATAGATTATTTAAGTTTTCATGTCGAAAAGTATGATGTCACGCAAGAACAGGTTTGTGTTGTATTTCGTTTTAGATTTTTGTTTATTTATTTTTCGTCATGGTCAAACTTACGATATTATGTCCCATCCTTATAGCTTGAAAACACTCGTTTGTCAGCTACCAAAATGTCTCCAATGATGGAGGGCATTGAATCTTGTATTGATTATATTGATGAAAAAGTCATAGAGGATTTAACTCCTAGGTTGCTTCAACTTATACGTAAGGGAATTGGTTTACCAACAAAGGTATTTATTTATTTATTTAAACTAAATAAGTTCTCTTTTACTAATGATTTTAATAAAAATATTTAGGCCGGCTGTGCAAGATTTTTAGTGTCAATGTGTATTAAAAAAGCTGAAATAATAAGACTTCATGCTAATACTTATTTGAAAGTTCTAAGTGGATCAATTCTTGATACTTCACCCGCAGTTCGCAAATCATACGCTGTTGCTGTTGGTTATGTCGCACATTTGACTTCTGATAACACTTTGGCTAAGTTTATTGAACATTTGAAGAAAATTTATTGTGAAAATAGTGGTATATATAAATATTCACGATTCTTTTAAATATGAATTGTTATGAATTATGAATTATTGTTATAATCCTATACCTATTTTTTTTTAATTAGAAGGAGAAATTAGATCTATTGCTGGAATTACGGTGCTTGAGATATCAAAGCATGCATCTGATGAATTAAAAAGAATCTATGTAGAGGTTTTGCCGCTCACTTATTATGGCAAGCATGATTCTGATTCAAGCATAAAAAGTGTGTGGGATGATGTTTGGGAAGATAATACTGCTGGTAAGACATTATTGGTTGTTAAAAAGGATAATTTTTCAAATCCAATAATCCTATTATAAATTTGAAGGATCTATGGGAACAATTAAATTGTATTTAAGTGAATTGATTTCTCTATCGTCGGCATTATTGAAATCACCTTCATGGCCTACTAAAAGACAAGCTGCATTAACAATAGCTGATGTTGCCAAATCAATAGGTTATTATTCATTTTCTTTCCCGTAGTTTGTATATCTACTGTATAAATTATAAAAATTTTCTTATCTATTTTTAGAACAAAATCTGATGCCATATATGCAACAAGTTCTTCCATTATTATTGGATGGATTATTAGGAAGAACTTGGGCTGGAAAAGAAGCTCTTGTTGAAGCGTTGACAACAGCTTCTGTTTCTTGTCGAAAATATTTTGAAAATGACGAAAATCGTGCACGGTTAGACATTATAGCTAGCGTATTTATAATTCAATATATCATATTTATTTGATTATCATTCTTCGTATGTTTAACTTTTTGTAATTTTAGGTTCTTGCGCGCGAAAGTAAAAAAGCGAATAAGCAATACAAGCGTATTTGTATTGATAATCTTGGAAAATTTGCTGACACTTATAGTGATACGTTAGTAATTTATCCTGAAGTCAAAGATTTTTTAGCCGAATTGGCGACAGGTGAACAAGATCCTGATGAAATGGATGAAGATGATGCAAATGAAAGACCATTATTTTTATTGGTCAAAGCAAGTGCAATGAAATGCCTTGGATTAGTTTGGCCAAAGGAAAAAGAAGTTCAAAGTAAGAAATATCTTTTTTGATATATATATTGAAGCTACAAATTATATAAATTATATTTAATTTTATCATCGTTCTTCATAGTACAACATTCCAAAGAACTTGGTAAATTATTGGCAAGTTCTTTAAAATCTGGCAAAAATGTTTGGAATGTACGTTTGTGTGCATTAGAATCTCTTGAAAAATTTATTGAAAAATTGGACTTCAGTGGACAACATGTTCAAACGCTTGAAGAAGAAACTTTAAATAGTATATTTGAAGGGTTGAAAGAAGGATTATCAGACACCAAATACGTGGCAGTTCGTACCGCTAGTTTTGATACTTTGAAGAAAGTTGTTGATAAAATTAAAGGTAAATATCAATTATTCAATCGGATTTTCCTATTGTGTTATTTTACATTCAATTAATTACAATCATTCTTTATAGATACTTCGTTAATACTTTCTTCATTGGTTAAAGAAAAATTGTTGGAAACTATTACTGTTGCCGAAAAAGATCCTGTAGCAAATATTTCTGATTCTGCTAAAGAATTACGCAAGGAATTACTAACAAGCATCTAACCTATTGAGTGATAATGAATTTATATGTGAAAACTTATTATTGTACAAAATTTTTTTCTAATCCCACCCTATTAAATCAGGTGATTTCTGGCACGTAATTCTTGATTACTTGACCACTGTATTCCGTGGTACATTCATTATAGATTCTTGCTCTAGATGCTTAAATTATATTTTAATGATCTTATTAATTTTTAATATATTAATGTAAATCTGTAATTTGTATAAGTAATAAAGTTCATATAATTTTACAATTTTATTGAACGACTTTTATACACATATTAATAAGAAACTTTACTTAGAAAATTTTCATTTATTTAGACTTTGCTCTCTTTTCACGAAAATTCAAATTTTTTTTAGATGATATACAAATTTTTTCTAACGATCCAATATTTGACCTCCACCCATATGCATATCCTTTACCACCTGTCGGCCAACCAGGGCAATTTCCACCATGAATTCTTTTCTTAACTAATCCTTTAATAAAATTATTTAAAAATAAGTATAATTCATTAATATTAAATTATATGATTATTTATTACCTTTTTTCTCAGCATCTCTTCTCGTCTTGCTTTTCCTTCGTTTTGGCTTAACTCTTTGTTCTTCATAATTATAAGGAACATTTAATACTTTATTTGGTACTAAATGACGTTCCCAGGGAATTTTTGACTCTTGAATAATTTGCTCAAAAGTTACCGAATTTATTCTTTTCATATGATCTGGATTATCTCTTTTTATGATAATGAACATAAAATAACACAATTTACTTTCTGTAAAGAATGAATTATGAATCAATTTTATTTTACCTTGATTCATCATTATCAGCTTTATTTCTTAGCATTTGTTCTACAAACTCATTATAATCTCTTATCTCTTTTGATTCAAGGGAAATCTTCGAAGGAGGACCACATGCGAATAATCGAAATACTAAATACCACACATTTTTCCTAAGAAAATTATTTTCTCTTAAATTCAGAAATAAAAGGGGATTTAATTATTTCATACTTTGTTCGTTATCATCATTGTCTAATTTGTGAGATTCTTCTTCAATTTCTTCATTGTCATCTTAAAGAATTTTATATAAGAAATAATTGTCAAGAACTGGACAAATTTCTTTCTAAAATCAACAAATACATATATGTACATAAAATCATACCATCCATACATACAAATTCACTATTCAATCTTTCAAACAATTTCATCTTTACATCATCTATAAAATCATCATCACTAAAATCATCTTGTTCATTGAATAATGATTTTCTTGAAACAATTGTTGTATCATGAGATAAATCAAGAATTTTACTAGATTTATAAATTTCAAAATAATTAAAATGAATTAGCTTCTTTGAAAATTAATTATTTATAAACTTTAGAAATTTGAATAATCACCGTTTATTCATTTTTACTGCGAAAGAAAACTGTAACAAAGATCAAAAAATCCTCGGGGTGATCTACTGCGGATGATCGTCGGACAATATATATATATATATACACCTTACTCATCAATCATTTTAAAAATCTTTCGACCATGTCCCATAAAAATCCTCGAACAGGAAAATCACAGTCGTTAACAATCGTAATAAAACTTGGAACTTCATCAATATGTGATGAAGAAACGAATTTGCCTTTATTATCAAATCTTTCACTAATGGTTGAAACTATTGTAAAGCTTAAGTTTTTAGGCCATAAAGTGGTTTTGGTTTCAAGTGGAGCTATTGGAGTTGGTTTAAGAAGATTGGATTTGGATAAAAAGCCCAAAAAACTTTCTGCAATCCAGGTAACATTCTAAATGTCAGATTTGATTGATAATTCAGGTATTTTCTCATTACAATAACTCTATTATTTTTATTGTAGGCTGTCGCCGCGGTTGGTCAGGGAAGGTTAATGAGAATGTTTGATGATCTTTTTAGTCAACTTAATCAACCGATTGCACAAATACTTTTGACTCGTCATGATCTTTCTAATGTAAAATATTATTTACCTAATATTTTATTTTAATTAATTATTTTTAATTTAGTTCTTTTTGTTTATTGTTCATTATTTATAGCGAACTCGATATATTAATGCTGTCAATACTTTTACTGAATTGCTAGCAATGGGAGTTGTTCCAATTGTCAATGAAAATGATACAGTTTCTGTTAGCGTAAGTTATATGCAAAAATCACAAAAAAAAAAGAGGAAATTTAAATGATTTTTCACTCTAGATATTTTTATAGGAAATTAAATTTGGAGATAATGATACTCTATCCGCCATAACAGCTGGTATGGTAAATGCAGATTATTTGTTTTTGATGACAGATGTCGATTGTTTGTATACGGACAATCCTAGAGAAAATCCTGACGCAAAGCCTATCAAAGTGGTTGAAGATGTGGGAGATTTGAAAGAACGAGGTTTGAATGATAATATTTTAATTATCTGTTTCTTTAAACTATAATTCCTTATTTACTTAAATGTTTTATAGTTGTGGTTTCGACACCTGGAAGTTCATTGGGAACTGGAGGGATGGTAACAAAACTTGCAGCGGCAGATCTTGCAACTGCTGCTGGAGTTACAACAATTATAAGTCGTGGCTCAGCACCAAAAAATATAATTTCAATTGTAACAAGTTTATCAAACGTAAATCCAAATTCTTCCGTTTCATCATCAATCCCTATTCATACACGATTTATAGCCAAAGACAATCCAATGATGGATAAAAAATGGTGGGTGTTACATGGATTACATACAGCTGGCACTATATTTATTGATGAAGGTGCCGTAAAAGCAGTGAGACATAAAAGTAATTTATTTGCGGCCGGTATCGTGAAATGTGAAGGGAGTTTTGTGTCTAATCAAGCTGTTAAATTAGTATTTGAAAAGCACCATGTTAATGAGAATGGAAAAGAAATTGTTGAATTAATTACAGTTGGGAAAGGTTTGGTGAATTATTCCTCATCAGAAATTTCTCTAATTAAGGGATGTAAAAGTGGCGAAATTGGAGAAAAATTGGGTTATGCAGATTGTGATTTCGTTATTCATAGAGATAATTTAGCTGTTACATTGAAAGATCCTGAAGAAAATGAGAACAATTAAAAAAGTTTAATATAAGGCAAAATTTTGTCAAATAATTTAATGTTTTTAACATTCCTCGTATAACGTGTGAATTTTTTTTATTAAACTTTATTTTCCGTAACTATGATTTCTCTTTCTCGTGTTAATTATACAGTGGCTCATGATTTATATTTAATTTTTTGTTTTTTTTTCTCATTCTATTGTATGAATATGGATTCGATTTAAAGCTGCATACTTTAGCTTTTTTGAAAGTATTGGTGAAAGTTTTAGTAATTTATTATTATGTAAGTGTATTTATGAAGAAAATTTTTTTCATAATTCCGGTAGATACTCGACAGCAAATCGAAAAATTTAATAAAGATAAAAATCAATCAATCTCAATGTCGATTATACATTGGTATGACCGATTTCTAGTATTAATTGATTTATAATAATTACAAAAATATTTTAAATGTAATCTCGAATGAGAACAAGAATGAAAGATATGGACGTATTTGGATATTGATTATTATTGGAATGTTATTTTGTATCGCTAATAAATTTACAACAGTAATATAAATTTTTATTTACCGCATCTGTCAATTTCAAAGTTAGTGCTTAAAATTCTACTGTATAGTGGTGGGAAGTATTAAGATAATAACAGAATTATAGATGTAAAAGAGAGTTCGAAAGCTAATATCTGAAAAAAGCTTACTTATCACCTAGTTGAAACTCGCTATTCTATCAGTCTCTAAACTATTTTACTGAAAGAAATAATACATGATTTAATATATAAGTCCTTTACAGAAATGAAGTTTGAAATTTTGAAATATCGATATTTGAGTCAGGTATAACATAAACAAGCACAGAGAACAATAAAGGTGATAATTACAATAATCAAATATCAAGGTTTTATTTCAAGCTGCTCACTTATTTCTTTCCACACTTTGCCCAAGAAATATAATGAATTGACAAGGTGATAGAATTTTTCCTCATTGTATTCGTATTCTTTAAGGACTTTCTCACAGGTTTCATGTGCTATAGAAGTTATTTCAGATAGCGAAAGTTTCCAGACTATGTTTTGAATCTAAATTGTTTAAACGGAATTTATAATTTATTTTTGATAACCACGGAAAAATTAAACGAGCTTTTTACCTCCTCTTGGTTTATTTCCTTAACCCAGAATCCGTAAATCAAGCCTTCAAAAAACCTGAAATTATTAGTAAAAAAAGAAAAATTCCTTAATATGCCCTCCTCAAAAGACCCGCCTAGATGGGCTTCGGCTTCAGTCATGTAAATATCGCCTAGTAAGGATAGTAACTCTTTGCCATTGGGTTCCGCCAAAAGTCTCTGAGCTTCTTGACAAAGACTTTTCTCAAACGATCCGTCATCATGCTTCGGAAATTGAGAGAGTTTATCTTGTAGATAACGGACAATGCTGAACACACGAGTGTTATGACGACGTTTTTTCAGTTCAGCTGACATTACATATCCTAGTTCACTATCTATAAATGAGAATAACCAGAGACCAATTTCCAGGTTACCAATGTATGGTTTCCAGAATTCTCCTCCTACATAGCAGTTGAACGATGCTTTATCCATGAAAGCTACGTTAACACAAATTGGGGTGAGTTGAGAGAAGCGAAAAATTACCAGGTATATAATAAATAGTCTCGAGACCTACTGTTGCTAACTGTTCCGAAATTATCGTAATGTGCTCGACTGTTTTTATCTGAAAGGGTCTGGTATGCTTTTGAAAGATTGGTCCACTATATTTATGACATTGGGTTAATATGTGGGTAGGAGGTAAAAGTAAATAAACCTCATTCTTTACCTCTTCAGTTTTGGTATTGCTATTCTTATCTGGATGGTATTTCAGAGCAAGTTCCTTGTACTTCGACTTAATGTCAGCTTCAGTCGCGCTAGGTGATAAGTGGAGAATTCCGTACAAATCTATTTCTTTTGATTTATTGACAACTATCGCATTGAAAGGGATAAGCGCATTAATAAAGGATAACAAGATAGACATGTTTTTTTTGTTATTTACCATGAGAATGGTTCTTCAGTTCTCCTGACCATTTGTTTAATATGGACATTTGACGTTTGTTAAACACTTCTTTACTGATTTCATTATTCTCGAATTGTTGTTTGTTCCTTTTTAATTCTGAATAGAGATCCATTTTCTCATAAAATTAATGTAAGGATTTATTGTCCATACAGTATTAATTTCAGTACAAAATTTGTACCAGACTCACAAGCTTTTCTTAATAGACCAACATGCGTCTGCACAATAATGACAATAATGACTAACTTTATTTGTAGATAGTTTAATTTATTCGACATATTTAACTTAGCTCTTAAGTTCAAACCAAACTTTCTTTGGTTAATACGATCACCAAAACAAATTTGAGAAAAAAAATCTAATTCCATAATAGAAAAATGATGTACGTAAAATTGATGTAATTATTTCGTAGTGAAAAAAGTATATTACGTAGATTTTATGTAATTATTTATTTTAAAAAAAAACGTGGTTTAAATAGTAAGTAATGCGTGTTTATAAAAAGAAATATAATTCATCATTTATATGTATTATTTTCATTTATTGATATAACATATCTAAAACTGTGAAAGAACCTAAGCAAACAGGAAACATGAGCGAACTTGAACAAAAGCTCTCTGCACTCAAGAATTGCTTTGATATGGGATATATAACTGAAGATCTGTACAATGAATATAGTCGGCGCATACTGGATGAATGGTCTAAAAGTAAGTAAAGAGAAAGGTTAATTTTCATTTAATGCCGTTCTAACAACATTTATCAAACCACGTAACTAAAAGAACCGGATGATGAAAAGCCGTTCTGGAGAAGAATGTTCGACAAGGCAATATCCTTTGGCCATACTATCTTGGCAAACCTGATTTCCGCAATTGTCAGCCCCTTTCGACTAATTACTGATAGATAAATTTCCGAGTCTAAATCATTATAGTTTTTTAGCCTCAAGGCTTCATTTACTGGATTTTAAATAAATGAATTTCCATTGTTTAATGATTTTCGTCAAGGTTTAGATAGAAATGATGTTGACATTGTTTTAGATACCATTATGTACAAATGAAGTAAATTCCGCGAAATGACAATGTCCTTAGTTCGAAATAAATCTGGCTATCTTTGCCCAAAAATGGTGATCCTATGTCTCGTGCGATTTTAGTGTATAATACATTAGTTACTCCAAATATAACGGTTTTCACGTTATTGCAAAGAATTTTTAAAAGGAATTTAGATTGGTTAAATGTCACGTGTTGAGAAAAATTCGTTATATCATAGAACGAGTTCGTTGTATCGAGAGCTGACTGTATAATACTCACTCACTTTGATTTGCATTTGGATTCAAGAATGGATGAAACCATAATTACCGATGTTAGGTCCTTATCCCAACTGCGGAAAGCATTAATAATGTCTTAATATACTCATTAAATAAAGTTTCTACACTTTGCAACTAGCCAACTACATTAAATTTCTTTTTTTATTTGTATTTTACATTATAGATAACTAATATTTTTTCTTCCCGATGAGTTTATATAAAAAGAAAAAAATTTTGTTAAAAACTACTGTAAGAAACTATATATATATAAATTGATTTTCACCATTACAAGAAAAATAATGCATGTAATATTAATTAACCATTTTTAATTAAATAACAGTTATTTTAAAATTAATTTGTTTAATACATATATTAATTAATAATATTTAATTATGATAACTATTAATTTTTCCATCCAAGCTCATGCAGATTTAAAAGGACCGATGGCGGATATTTTAGGGATAAACAATATCTTAATACTAGCCTCTTTATACTGATACATATATTAGTCTAAGTATTAACCAATGTAACTTCGATTAAATTATTTCAAAAATTTGGCATTACCACAAGTTTCTAATTGGAATGAATGAAAATAGTCAATATCAACCTATACATCAAAATCATCAGAGCGTAAATTTAATATTACCTTAATTTATTAATGGTTGTTCAATAATTCCACTTCCAAGGCACCAATTTTCATCCCATACAACAACGTTCTATTATATATATATATAGACGTTTAGGGTTATTTTATATATAAAGATTTACTTTCGATTTGCTTTACTACCTGACCGGGTGTAATGGCTCGTTTAGGTGTACTAAATTCCACTATATACTTTCCATCAGATCTTGAACATATTTTAGTATTCACTCATATAGTTAAATTTCGTTAATTATAATTTCTTACCTTCTTGTTACTTTACATAGTTCTAATCATTAAAAAGAATTGTAAAAATATTTCAATAGGAAACTGTTAAAAAATCAAACGATCTTACCTGCAGGTTGTTGATATCTAAGCTGAGTAAGTAAATTGATGCCTAAAACATACATACAATTATTATATTTTGATTTGATCTCAGCAAAATATAAGCTATATCATTTCACTACCTCCTTCAATTTCTTTAGGAGGTTCACCCCAACTCCATATCCAATCCTTGGCAACGAGTTTTGAAGAAAATAATAATGGGTTTGTTCTTTTTTTTTTAAAAAAAAAAATGGATACATTGTAAAAGACAAAGTTATTATAAATTACTTAATCTTGTCTCTAATAAATAATTCAGTATTTGTACTCACGATCCAGGTATAACGATTAAAGAATTATTTTTAATGTCTTTTCTTAAAACAAACCATCTATGATATTTATTAAAATACTAAATTAAAATTTGTAATTATTAATAATTTACAAATTAAAAGACACATGCCGATCAGGTCCATAATGTATTCTTGCGCATTGTCCAATAGTGTAAGAAAATAAACCACGATGTTGACCTAAAATAGTCTTAAAAGTATTAAAAATAAAGACTACTCCTAAATTTGATCATTTTATATTTACCGATAATAATTCCATCTAATGTTTTTATATCTCCTGGTTTTGGTATAACGTATTGTTCCAAGAATTCTGAAAATTTTCTTTTTTTCCCCACAAAACAAATACCCATACTTTCTTTTTTATTAGCAGTTTCTAGATTTGCCACATGTGCAATTGATTTAACTTGCTTTTTATGTAAGTTTCCAACAGGAAATATTACCTATAGACGAATAAAGATATTTTTAGAGATGATTAATGTATAAAAATGATAATTTTTTTAAATTCTATTACTCTTTGAAGATTTTGTTCGGCAACTGTTGATAAGAAATAACTTTGATCTTTGGTGACATCAACTCCTAATATTGACATTGGTTAAAATCAATTGATAAAAAAAAGATTAAACAAAGATCAAAGTATAACAAACCTCGCATTAATTTAACTCGCCCAGAATCTGTGCGTTCGAGTTGAACATAATGTCCTATATTATTAAAAAAATCAGTGTATAAGTAAAAAAAAACTTAATGATTTGATTTGTACTTTTATACCTGTGGCTATCCAAGTATTTTCTTTATCTTTGCCATTAATAGATCCTAAACATTTATCTAAAAACCATCCAAATTTAATTTCACGATTACACATTACATCAGGATTTGGAGTGATCCCATTTTCATAATCTTCAATCATCCTTGTAAACACCTGCAACCAATATTCTTTTGTAAAATCGAACTTTAAAAAAAAACGATCGGGAAATCATTTCATTAGAAAATATTTTAATACTTAAATATAAACTTATACATATTTTATTCACCTGTCTGCAAGGTATATCTAGTTGTTTACAAACTGTCTGAACATCTTTCCAATCTTGATCACTCGTGCAAACTCCATTTTCGTCTGTTGTATCCCAATTACGCATATAAACACCTTCTATTACATATCCCTATTTATTTTAAAAGAAAATATTATTATTGGAAAAATTAAAATTATTTTTTCAAAGTCTAAAGTCATTTTTAATACCTGTCTTTTTAGAAGGTATGCCGAAACACTTGAATCTACACCTCCTGACATGGCTACAATAACTACAAAAATTTTTATTATATATTTTTATAAAAAATTTTTTTTTTAATAAAAATAAAATTAAAGGAATATACCTTTATCACCCGGATATGGATACCTAAAGTGACTTATGTAACGACATAAAAGTTTGGATGTGTTTACCGAAACAGGGAAACATCTCGATTTTTTTAAGTTGATTAAAAATTTCATCTTGAAAAAGATTTTGTTTGACGCGGGAATGAATTAATGGATTATATAAACGGTAAATCAATACCTAAATGGGTAAGGTAGGACGGGGTGGCTTAATACGATTTTTTGACCTATCAAAATTATAATATCGAAAATAATCATTTTATCGAGATTTTTTTTTTATTTTTATTTCGCAGTATAATTTTATAATAAAACTTTTCGTTTTCGTTTACAATAAACTTGTGGAAGTTACCGAATAAAATCACTGTTTCTAATTTATGAGTTTGTGGCGATGTAAATTTTAGAATACAATTTTATCTTCAATAATGTATGCTTAATAAATGTTTTATGATAACTTCTATTCAGGAAATTTTTTTTTTAATTTATTCTTTACCGTTACAAGATGTGATAAACTCCGGCTGGAACTAAAGATCTGCATCATTATTATTGGATCACAAAGATCAGTCATCTTTTAATTAAAATTTTGAACGAAATAAATAGTACCATATAGATCTTTATTACGTAACTGTAACATAAGCCGCAATAATAAATTTTCAAAATAACTTTATTAAGGCGACAAATTCACAAAACTTTAAATCTCAAATTTTTTCGAGACAAAAAAAATGCTACATGCATTTTTTTTTTTGTAAATCATACTATAACCATTCTTCCTTTTTCAAAAAAAACTCCTCGTTCTAAGTAATTTGATTGAAATTCACTACTATTTTTATGCATTCAATTTTTAAGTTCAACGTATAATAATATTATGTCTTATTTTAATATTTATATATAATTTTGGAATGGTAGTTCAAACAAGAACCATTTATTGAATCTGAATAATTTGGAAAATAATAATTCGTTTGCATATAAAACTGCTTTGCATGAAAATACATTTAAAAATAATATCCTTATCAAATTAGAAGAGGATGGTTTAACTAGTAATGAAAAAACAAAAGAGCTTATTAAGAAATTGTCCGAAATAAAGTATTTATATTTTACTTTTTGAAACGTCCAAAATGAGTTTTCACCTCAAGTCTTAACAAATTCATTAGAAGCATTAGTTGATATTCCTTTTAACTATTATCCAATAAAAAGCGTAGCTAGATTAGAATTACATTTAAGATCTTTGGATACTGTTCTAGAACGGATTTGTTTTTCACCGATAATACTTAGTAAAAACTTCAAGATAAAGTTTATAATTCTTTAGCAAAATTTACCAAAATCAATCGAAAACAACAAAGGTTATTAAATAGGATTTTATGATAATTTTAAATCAAATTTCAATCAGTTAAATCAGAAAATTAAGAAAATTACCAAAAAACGTAATTATAACGTGATTGACTTTTTATTAATTCACATGATGATGAGACTTGGTTTCACGATTATACGAATTAGAAATTTAAGGCTATATTAAATATTTAAATATTACACCAAGAATTTACCAATATCAGGCGCCTCTCTTCCAAATGATAATTGTTCAATCTTATCGTTGCTTACTCGATTGCGTTGAGGATTAAGTTTTAAATATCTAGTGGAATCTTATTATATTGATTGGAGATTACGTTGGTACTTAAATGATAATTAGTAAAAAATTGGTATTTATGGAATGTCTTTGAAACTTTATCTGATCAAATTTGGTTAAAGAATCTAAAATAGTCTTATTAATTACATTACCATTCTTTTTCTAAAAAATTCCAACATTTAAAAAATACTATATACTCTTCAGTATCGTTAATTAGAGGAAATTCTTATTAAATAAATTTACTTATTTGAGCCATTAGTAAATTTTAAGATGTTTGTTGCCGATAGAAGGTATAACTTTTAAAACGTTTGTTTCTAAACATCAAATTAAATGTTATTTATCGTTTTAAAGAATTTGCTACAGAAATAATTAGTTTTTACCATCTTGATGTACAGTATTTTTAAAACCACATCCTTGTTTGAAAAACAATTTATTGTCAAGATCGTACGTGAGCACGTCCATTACTAAATAATTACTGCGCCATGCGATTTGTGACCTAAATTAATGTATAGATCTGCTGATTCTAATTGTATTCTTGCAATACGTTACGGAAAAATTGTGTAACGAAAAATCATTTAAAATAAGCTATTATTAATTTAGTGAGTTTCTGCCATTTATTTCATTTATTTCTAGAAATTAAATGAAGGAATAATAAATGTATTAAGTATTAAAAAAAAAAAAAATGGCTGAAAACTCTAAGATAAAAGATTTAAATTATTACATTGATTGGTTAAATTATTCAATTTCTGAGGAACATATCAGATACTATGAATATTCGGACTTTACAAATAAACAACAAATAGGGAAAGGTTCATATGGAACTGTTTTTTGCGTTAATTGGAAAAATTCTAATCGTCTTTTTGCTTTAAAATCTTTTAACAATAGTGAAGAAACCCTTAAGGAAGTTGTAAAAGAGGTACGGTTTTAAAATTTTCAAGTAAATAAAATATTAGACTTTAATACTATTATTTTCCTATAGTTAAAATTGCTTCGGAGGGTTGATGACCATGAAAATATTATAAGTTTCTATGGAATTACGAAATTGGAAAGTGAGTTTTGAATATTACAGGATATAATGATGTAATGATATTAATTAATTTAATACAAAATTTTTTTTGTTCAGATACGACTCATCAAACAAATAATTACTCGCTAGTCCTAGAATATGCTAATAATGGTACACTAAATACTTATTTAAATAAGCACTTCAATGAACTTAAATGGAGCGACAAATATCGTTTAGCATTGCAATTGGCAAGTGCCGTAGAATTTCTACACGAAAAGGATATTATTCATCGTGATCTGGTAATTTTTATTTGTAAATCCTTACTATTTTCAGTTAATATATTCTAATACTTTTTTTTTTAAATAATTTAAAAAGCACGCGAATAATATACTTATACATCAAGATAATATTAAATTGGCAGACTTTGGGCTATCAAAAAAAATCGCTGAAGCATCAAGTGATACATCAAAAATTCTAGGCGTAATACCCTATGTAGATCCAGAAAGTTTTAATAATCAAAGTCAAGATTATAAATTAAATAAAAAATCTGATGTATATAGTATTGGAGTTTTAATGTGGCAAATTTCAAGTGGATATGAACCATTTAAAGGTTTCGATTATAATGCACGGTTAATCTTATTTATCGTTAATGGTAAAAGAGAAGAAATGATTGATGAAACTCCTTTTGAATATAATAAATTATATACAGGTAATATTATAAATTTTAGTACAATTTTTCAATGATTTTTTTTTTACTATATCCTAATTATATATTAATTATTTGATTCCTAGAATGCTGGAAATATGAATCAAGTGAACGTCCAAATATTCAGGAAGTTGTTTCAGCTCTTAAAGCAGTAATTTATCCAAACCAAAATGATACAATTGTTTATAAAATTAATGAAAAGAAAGAACCAGAAAAATTTAAGTCAGTTTCAAACTTGAGCAAGAAAACTATAGACATATACAATGATTTAATAGATGATGAATCATTAAATATTAATGAACATGAAAGTGGAGCAATAGCGGAATCTGAAAATAGTACATCAACTGTGTCAAATAAAGCAGGGCCATCAATAGATAATACATATCAATCACTTCTCAAACCGGAAAAAGAAGAATTTATAAATAACGTCAATGAAAAGGAAAACTTGGAAAAATATAAGTCAACTTTGAAGTTAAGTAAGGGAACTATAGATATAAGTGATGATTTAGTAAATGACCTTGGATCTTTAAATATTTTTGAATATGAATACAAAAGTGGGATAAAAGTGGAGTTTGAAAGTAGTTTATCAAGTACGTCAAATCAAGCAACAAAATCATCAACAGAAAACACGTGTATTTATAGAAACCAATTACTTATTAAGCTAGAAAATGAAGGATTTATTACACCAGATGAAAAAGTAAAAGAGCTTGTAAAGGAATTGATTGAACCAAAATTTTTATATGCTCTAAAGTTACTTTTTGAAAATTTACAGAATAAATTTTCATCCCAGGTTTTGATAAGTTCATTAAAAGTGTTAGCAAATCCTACTTTATTTGATTATTATTCAGAAGAAAATGTGGTGAGATTGGAATTTCACTTACGAACCTGGATAGCTGTTTTAGAGCGTATACAATTTTCAAATCCATCAATAGTTCTTAGTAAAGATCTTTTGGAAGAAGTGTGCAATTCTTTAGCAAAATTTACTGAAATTTATTATAAAACAATGCAAGTTATTGAAGATAAAAGACTAGGGTTGGATCGGTCCTAGCAAAGACCGGTCCTGCGTCGGTCTTGGGACCGGTCTTCACGGTCTTCGGTCCGAGATCTGAGGACCGGTCCGGACCGGGACCGATCTTATATTATTAATATCCAATAAAAATGAGCCAAATTTTTGTGCTCATGTACTTCTAGGG